ATTGTAAAAGCCAAATACTTTCTCAAACTTCTAATTCTTCAATATCTTCAGCAACACTACCGTGGTTAGCTGCATGATACCAATTAATTTAAGATCATCAGCAAATAACTGAATCTTATTTTTTACAAGGTCAGGCAAATCATTAATATACAGAATGAATAGGAAAGGGCCTAGAACCCCTGAGGAACACCAGATAAAACATGTTTAACATCGGACCATTGTCCTTCATAAGTCCTGTCTGTCAGAAAATCTTTAATAACATCTAAAACCTTTCCTTTGACACCAAAGCCTTCCAATTTAGACAGAAGTCTAAAGTGCGGGACTGTGTCGAACGCCTCACTAAAATCAAAGTATAGAAGATCAACCGGGGCACCTTCATCTAAAATGTCAAGAATGTCATCAAATGTCTCTAAAAGATTAGATAAACACGATTTACCCTTAACAAATCCATGCTGATGCTCCGAAATTCGATGTTCTAGAAAATTTAATACATGTGCTCTCACCAACTTTTCATACACTTTGCACAAAATACAAGTTAATGAAACTGGTCTATAATTTAAGGGGTCCGATTTAATACCCTTTTTAAACAATGCTACACCAGATGCAGATTTCCACACTGCAGGTAAAGATCCTGTATCTGAACACTTTTGAAATAATTTAGTTACTGCTTCAACAAAATTGTTGTCATAAGCTAGCGATTTCAACAACTTCGGATGAACACCATCCGGACCAGAACTCTTAAAAATGTTAAGCTTTAAAAATTGCTTTTTTATATCAGAACTGCTGACTTCCATATCATCAATATCATCAATACTCTCATTGTCAGGTCTTAAATTTTCAGTTTTAGGGAGAGGATCAGGTGGTTCACTCACAAAAACAGAGCTAAAGGCACTTGCGAGTACCTCAGCTGACTCAGTCGAACTATCTGTGCGTGTACCATCTCTTCTATCTAAAGAAACCACACTTGATTTAACTTGACGTTTATTTCGTAAATAAGAGTAAAAAGACTTACAATTCTGCTTCAGATTAGACGTAATTTTCTTTTCATAGTTAACTTTAGCTTTAATTTCTGCTACTTCATAAGTATGTTGTTTGCTACTTCTGTCAATTTAGAATTGACAATTCCACTGCACCCAGTGACATAAATTTAAAAAGGGACTAGGAATCCAGTCTGGAAAGAAAAAACGGCTACCATATATTTTTAAAACGACTACCATAAATTTTTCGGCCGCTCCACGGCCGGATAACGATTTCATTTTACTTTGCTAGTTATATTACATAGGTTTAGTTATTCATTAGTATAGTTATTAATTCATTAGTATAGTTATTCATAATTGCCAAAAGATTGTGAAAGAATTCCTTTCCGTGTTCCGGGTCTCGAACTCGCGATCTGCTAATGTGGTATCGACGGATTAACCATTTAACCAACTAGGCCACGATTCCATGTACGCTTTTGTAATATTTACATATATAGCCCTTCGCGCGTTCCTGCAACTACCATACTACCATACTACCAAACAGTCCATACTACCATACTGGTATAGGTAGTAGGAAAATCTTGGATCCTGACAGGAATATCTTGGATTATTTGGTAACGCCCAAGTTAAGCGCAAGAACTAGGAATCTGCAGGAATCTGGCATTTGCGCTCGATTCGAACATCTTCTCGGATAAATATAGAATTAAAGTACAGTGCGCGGCGTTACAGTGTGTAACAACCGAGAGCGACTATTTTAAAGTTGATTTAATAATTTTGTTGAAAAAAATTAGTCGGCGTGGCTATGGAAATTAATATGGCTAGGAATTAGATTCTTAGATTCCTCACTTTATGTCACTGGGCCACTGCAGCAGTATAAGTGTCTATAATTTATGTTAAAAACTGTTGTAATGCTTCACTTTGCTCTCTGGAACCTTGATCAGATAAAAGGGTTAGGGTTTCGAATAGTCGTTCAGGGCCAGCTAGAGAACGGGTTGAAAAATCACGTGACAATCGAGTCTATGTGTAGAGCGATTAATCGTCATCCATAAATAAACTTAAAGTATAGCAAATTCAACCATCGACACAACGACGCAGCCCGCCGCGCGCATAGCCACACATTGTTGAGATAATCTCTAGATGCGGGTGTAAGTGCAATGCATATTCACTTTACAATTATTCACCTAGCCATGAGTTTACGTGTACTGCGGTCGCGCTACTGCAAGCGAAAGTGCTCTGGATAGTGCAATTACAATATCATGTCACATTTTCATCTAACCATGTGCTTTCGCGCCACTGCGAGAGGCGGGCGCGTTGTGACCCCCACGGTCGTTTCACTAGATAGTCCTGACGATACAGGCGGGTCATACAACGTATAACAAAAGCGCATGAAGGGCTAGCTCTGGATAGAGCAATGTCACATTCATTAGTTACCAAGGTTAAAATTTCAAAAGCTTTATAATTTTGTTGGGGAAAAATTTGGTTGTTTGCGCATTGATTCACGATGTAGGGCTGTGAACACCACACCACAATGCCATAAATAACGAAGTTATGCTAGCTTGCTAGTCAATTGCTCGCTTCTCTCACGTTCAGGAAGCTTAAAAAGAGCGCCGCGCACACAGCACATGGACTGTGACATGTACATTTTACTGTGACATGTACATTTTAATTGTATTAAAACAAACATTAAATCGATTTTAATAATTATTGTCATTAAGGCCACAGGGGGGGGGGGGTCCGAGGTCGATTTTGAGATTTTGAGATATGTTGTAGAGCTCGATCTAAATTTTCAAATGCTTTTGTCCTTACCGAAAACAAAGTTTCCTATTTGAAGATATCGCGCGTTGAATTTTGAGGTTTACCTGTAATTCTATTGTAAATGAAAACTTTAAATGAAATCGTGTTCAAAATCTATCTTCTTTTTCAGTTTATGACTTAGAACTTTGTAACTTGGCAACAATGTTCTTCAAGGTATTTTGAGTTTTTGTTATGTAACGATTTATGATATCTTGCTCCAAAGCTGAGATATGAGGTTAACCATGAGTGCGGGTTACAAAATTTAAAATGGTTAACCTCATAAAAAGAGTTAGGAGCAAAATTACAACAATCGTTACATAACAAACTTTTAAATTTATGTCAGGAACATAAGTTCCAAATTTGAGGTGAAATGGATAAAAACTCTAGGAGAAGATAGATTTTGAAGTCAAAAATTCGAGGTTTTCAGGAGAGGCAAAAAACTGTTTTTTATGTTTATGTGATTTTTGAGTATTTTGCCTTTATGTGTATATTTTTCAAAGTTTAACTGCTGAAATAACACAAAAACATTAAAAACAAAGCTTATCATAGTTTTCAGTTGTAATGGCATCAATATTTCTGCCCTCCATTATCGATTTATCAAAAAAATGAGGTTATTTGAAGAAGTGGTGGCAAAGTATCCACCACAAAAATATATATTGATTTAAAGCATAATATGTTTTTGCATTTTTTGAAGCCTCGACCCCCCCCCCCCTGTGGCCTTAACGTGTTAACCACATCTAGCAAATTATTATTTGTATTTTAATTTTGTTTTACTTAAATTTTGTTAATGTTTAACTTATGTCTGTTTACACAACTATAGCATATATGATAGAGATACAAATTTAATAATTGCTTCAGTTTTCGCCACACATCAGATTCGAATTTATTTGATTGTCAAGCCATAAGTCATGTTATATGCATATACAATATGTATATTTTAATATAATATACAATACCTTTAGGCTCACAACATAGCTATTTTTCATTATAGTTGAGTCTTGTGACTTTGCAAACGACACGCGAAATGTAAACACTCAAATGTGTGATTAAAATTCTTATATTAGTCTTTGAAATGTGTTAGACATCCCAATTCATGATGGCTTTTAGTTATTGTTTTGTATGCTCTGTGGGTTATCAGATCATGTGATACAATACAGCAAGCAAGCCATTGATTAAGTTCTCTAAATAGTGTATGAATAATAAATAATAATAATAATTTAAACTTTTAGATTATAGTGTCACAACAACTATATGATGATGTAGTCTGATCAGGATTCCTTACTACCTGGTCAGGTCTTAACAGACCCACTATGCTTCATATTTTGGGCGTCTGAGTAGTTAAACAGTGCCATAATGCTTCTCCTTTTAAATTTACAAGTTATTTAAAAGGTCAATCACTAGAATTAGAATTAGAATTAGAATCAAATTTACACAGCAATACAATAAGAATAAAAAATAATTTAAGAAGCTTCAATCTGCTGTGCAGGACATTCAAGTCAGTCAAAAACTGTTAGCAGAACACCCTTCTAGGGACATAAGGATATAGCATGTAAATTGTAAAACAAAATAAGTAATAAATTAATGAGTGGTAAAATAAGATATGATTTAACAGTGAACTGTGGGCATGGAGGTAACAATTAATGTTGAAAATTACATAGATGCCCACTTTGGAATTTCGTAAGTAATATTATTTACAGTTATACACAGAGAAGTATAGAACAACATTAGAATGGCAATGATAACAAATGGGAACGAATAAAGGAGATGTTTAAAGTTCTATACTTCTGAAAATAGGTCATATAACGCAGGGGGCCTTTCCACCCGACAAAAACTCCAGCACCTTAAAAATTGTTTCAGTTGTCACATAGCTAGAGTGTAGAAATAGTCGAAACTATTGTTTATTTCATAGGATGAGACTCCTTGAATTACATCTGACATAAATTTAGATTTCATACATTGTGAGAAATTTACACTACATTCTATAGTCCTTATGTTCTCTGGAATTGTATTCCAACATTTTGCACCTAAATATGTAAAGGTTTTGTGTGTTCTGGATTTGTGAATATAAAGGTTGCACCTCTCAGCATCACGTGATCCTCCAGATACATAAGAAAATTTACCGGTGAATGATGCACTACAATTTTAATTTACCCAATCATTCAAGCTAAGTTTACCTGATCAATTAGCTAAGTTAACCAAGGATATTTTACTCAATGTAGTCTTTTATCTTCATCCAGGGTTATGAAATTTAACTTTTCCTGCAAGACAAACATAGTTACCACTTTGGGTCAAAGTAATAGGAGTCAACCTCGCAAGTCTTATGTGGGATTAAAACTACAAAATGGCACCGTCAGCATGGATGTTCAGACATCTAAGAATCCTAATGGAGCAGCTTATATCATCTCAAAGAGGTTTGGTTATTTATATACAGATTTCAATGTTTTGCTGGTAATGTTTTGGTTAATATGTAATAAATTACTAAATTACCTCCCTTCCTAGTCTTTCATGAATCAGTTTTTTGAATGACTTCTGTCAATTCAATAATCAATATCACCCAGCAACATTGAAGCAGTACACAGTCGGTTGCTGCAGGAAGGGAAGATGAGCATAACATTCAAAAACCCGCCACATCTTATGATGATTAGTGATGCCCAACCTAATGAACTTCAAATATTGATAGAAACAATAAAGAAACCAAGTTATTTCATTCAATTAGATCCAGAATCTATAAAGGCAAAGACGATTCGTCCTAAATTTCAACCAAAGGAAGATGTGAAAACCATGACAATTGGACTTCTGTCCCAGTATCCTGCCATATCTGGAGTTGGGTTTCCTAAGACACTCACTGAACTTACAATTTCAAGATTGAATTACCGCCATCTGGAGAATAGGATCATGGCTTTAGAGTCCCTGAAAAAGCTTGATTTATCTGGCAACCGTTTAACAAAGCTACCAAGAGGACTATGGGATATGAAAAGTTTGATACATCTAAATGTTGAAAACAATCAAATATCTGAAATACCTTCCTTTATTCCTGCAGACTCTAATGTTTGCAAAAACATCCAATGCCTTATAATTTCAAACAACAAGCTTGATCACTTTCCAGAATTCTTGAGACACTGCAAGTGGTTGAACACATTAAGAATTGCTGGAAATCAGATAAACTATGTCCCAAATTATCTTAAAGCCTGCTCCTCCTCTCTCAGAGTATTAGACATTGATCGATGTAACTTAAAGAATCTTCCTGCATGCTTGATAAGTTTTAGTCTGAATGATCTGCTGTTGGATGGAAACCCCTTTCCCCCTAAAATTGAAGAAAATGCAATATACAAGGGGAAGCATGAAAAATCGTGGAGTTTAGTACCTAGTCTGCAGGCATGCTGTGTAAAATCCGTTATACGCCATGGGGTGCGATTTTCTAGACTTCGATATGTCCTTCCTCAATCTTTAATTAACTATGTTCATTCTCGCCAGTACTGCAATTGGTGTCAAAGGTTGGTGATGGAGAACTCAATCTTATACTATTACGAGGCTGAACTAAAAAAGTTTGCTAGAACATTCTCATCCTTAAGTGGTTCAGCACCTTTCATCTCTGGATATGTGTGCTCCTCTTTTTGCTTCAAACGTATACAAGAAGGCAAGAAAGTCATACCAGCTACCATCTTCTTCAAACAGTGTGCTTATATTGAAAGGGATAATTCAACACGATTTAGAATTGGCAGTTGATATCTCTGATGAGGGTAACATTAGGTGAAACCTGAAGGGCCTTTAGGACACCTTCAACAAGACGTTGTCTCACGTTTTGACTTTTTCTAAATTGATTTTTAGAGTCTTATATAGTCTATTGGCTATGATAGACTCGATTGATTGGTTGCAGAATCTTCATAGCTTTATGACTATGAAATCAAAATCATGCTATCACATAAATTGACAGAGCTAGACCACGTTAAAGTCCAATGATACAAATATCACATTTTCTGAGATGTGATAATGATACAAATGGGTCTGGAGAGACCGAATGCTATCAGTTTTTTATGAAAATTTCGTAACATGATGCCTGTCTCCTAAGGAAGCAGTGTACAAAAGGAAATCGTTATTTAGGCTCGTTATGATACAAATATCACACATTTTCGTTTCAAAATTGTCCGTTTTATGATGTGATTATTGAATCCCCTTGACCTCTTTTTTCTGTTTCTTTGAACTCAAACTGTACCAGAGGCAATTCCAAACAGAATTAGTGAAAAGTATGATACAAAAATCAACCTCCCGTTAGATGTACTACAATTATCACATTGTATTTTAAAACAACGAAATATAGCTATTTTTCGGGTCCAGTTCTCTGGGTGGCTGTTTGAAGGGTACATAATTCATTAATAAAGATGAAACTTCATTCACACCTACAAAATGGTAACTCAGTATGGATACAAGGATGAAAAATTGTTCCAACCACTTGAAGGATACAAATATCACATTTTTTGTGAACCAAATTTTACAAGTGTAACATTCGTGATAAATGTATCAATATGGGTCTATAGAACGAGATTCTTTTTGATACATGTAAAATATTTAAACATTATTACTCCCTGAACATCTTACACAGCACATCTAGGAACCAAAATAGGATACGAATATCACAATTTCAATTTAAATAATTTTTTATTTTTTAAAATTTTTTTTTAATCAAGTGATATTTGTATCTGAAAAGTGCTTATTTAATGAAATGCCTATTACTTATTGACTATGTTTAATAATATTGGATGAATTGATCTTCAAAAACAACATTCACACATTATTGACATTGATTCGTGAAAAATATTGAATTTAATGTGATATTTGTATCATTTACAGGTTATTTATTGAGTGTCAATCATTACAACATTATTTTACAGCCTAAAGCACCTTGAATAGCATTCAAAACATCAAAATAGTCCTCACTGGTTGTCATTAGAGCCTACCCTAAGTGATGTGTGATAATCGTACCATATTTCGTATATTTAACCATTAATCGCGGTACATATAACACCCACATGCTTCAGAAAGGTTTGATGGTCACATCTATCACGATAACTCACTCAAATCATGTAAATTCGATTTTACACAGCCATAAACAAGTTTCCCTGTGATATTCTTATCATAAAGTGTACAAATAACAAATTTATCTGTTTCATGTTGATGAATGAGTGATTATTGTATCCTTGTTGACCAAACTACAAATTTTTGTGGTAATTGGTTTAAAATTGGCCGAGTAATAACTATCACATGGTTTGGCAGTCAAAATTCGAGCATGTGGCAGTCAAAACGTGAGACAACGTCTTGTTGAAGATGTCCTTTAGTGAAAATGCTAACATGTTGGATGTTGGTGATCCTCCAGTTTGTTTGTTTGTTTTTCTAAGAAAATAGTAAAGTATTAGTTATGATGACCCGAATAATAAATTCAAACACTGAGTCTTTGACAATATGTTACAATTTGTGTTAATATCGACATTATTTTAAAGTTAAATTGTTATTCCAATAAAATTATTGAATTACATCGTTTTTAAGTTATACTATTATTTGATATCGTTTCAATTTTTTGTCGTTTTAGCATTAAAGAGCTATAATAAAATCATGATTAATTCTAATATGACAATACCTTTAATTTTAATAATTTTAATAATTAAATTATACCCACTACTTACACGTTTTATAACTGACACATCAAAGTTGAAAAGTAGATTAATAAACAACTTTTAGAATTCCAATCAATATAACTCGTTTAGGAAATGGCAGAAAAACCTTGGGGTGAAAGCCTCAATAACAATCAGTTCCAGAGTCTAGATTCTATAATGCAACAAGAAGGTAACAGTGACGTCATAACACGTGGTGTGACGTCATAACACGTGTTATGACAACACACCACGTGTTATGACGTCACAATTTGGGCGAAAGCCTCAATAACAATCAGTTTCAGAGTCTAGATTCTATAATGCAACAAGAAGGTAAAAGTTTACATACCATTAGTTTTAATTTAAATAGATAAATGAATTCTCCTACCGTGAAGTACCTAAAAGAACTACCGACACAATAACACTTGATGTACGTGTAACATTATCTTTATCCTCCAGGCGAAGAGAAAGATGAGAGACTAGCTAGAGAGATACACAGAAAGTTGAACCTAGTTGACAACTCAACAGGTGCACGTGCTTCCTCCTCCACTGGTGCTGCTGCTGAGTCAGATGAAGAGATGGCCAGAAGACTACAGGAGCAACTTAATAGAGGTAATTAAACCGATTTAATTTCAGTTTATAATGAACATTGAACACTAACTTATATTTACGAAGGTGGTATAAAAGCAATTAACCTACGTTTCACTGTCACAGGCTCTCCAATAGTAACCCCAAGTGAGGTCACCCCATCTTCTTCAACTAGCACGGAAACAGACGAGGAAATGGCACGGAGATTACAGGAGGAACTTAACAGAGGTTTGTTATTAACGCTTTATTAATTCCCTCAACATTTAACAAGGAAATAATAACCTACCCTCGACATGTAACAAGGATACATTAGTGAAATAATAACGAGCTTTTCATTTAGAAGTGAAACAAAGCTTTATATAAAACATTTCCATCTCATAACATAATACTCAATAAATGTATTTATTTGTAGTTACGAAAGTAGTTTAACTTTACTTGGTATAATTCTAAGTAAGATGTTGAGTATTCTTATGACAGAAGATGACGAGAATACAGCAAACGACGCGCTACTAGCAGCCATGTTACAAAACCAAATAGACACTGAGAGAATGGCTGAGGAGAAGCACAGGAACGGGAATGCTAAGGTAACCATGAGTTCCTTCAGAGGTACCCAGTACCGTGATCAGGATATGGATGAGTTCTCTGAGGATGAGGAAGAGAGTTTCTACGGTAAGAGACCTGTGTATTATCTACACTGTATAGCACTAGTACTACACTGTAGTGCATTGAGCTTATCTTCTTTTGTACTGATTTTCAAAACGGAATTATAATCGTTTTCTAGCGACAGTACCAAAAGCTTGTTTGAGGTTTAACTTAATATAAAGTCTGTATAAATATTTTCGTCAAGAATTAGATGAGATAATTTATGTATTTACAGAAGTACCGGAAGTAGTGTCAGACCCGAGTCGTACTAAGCACGACAAGGCGGCTAACATGGCCCGCAACCAGAAGAAGATAACAGACACCTTCAACATTGAGTTCAACACTGGTGATTTTACAGGGATCAAGGTGCCCCATAAAGTTTACAACGAGCTGCAAGTTGAGGCGCATAAGTCTAAGTTTGATGGTGTTAGGGTGAAGGATAGGAGGGATATCTCTACTCATGTGAGGCTTTTCACCTTTTCTTTTTAATTTTATAGCTTAATCGTTGATAACTTTTCAAATAAAATGTAACAAATAATAATCATTAAGAGTGAACCTGATTTGTTTTTTTCCTTCGTTGGGTAGCCTATATGCCAAACAAAATCACATTTGATAACTTGAGTTTAATGCTCGATACCCCTCCTCTGAAGCAGGATTGTAATTACAATTAAATTTCAATTATTAATTAAATTGCAATTAATTAAATTGCAATTAATTAAATTGCAATTACTTAAATTGCAATTAATTAAATTGCAATTAATTAAATTGCAATTAATTAAATTGCAATTAATTAAATTTCAATTAATTTTAAATTGCAATGTTGATAGGAGAAAGTGTTGGACAAGAGAACGAGGGTAGTGATGTTGAAAATGTTGAACAGTGGGATAGTTAATAAGATAAACGGTATTATCAGCACTGGCAAGGAGAGTGTTATTATACACTGTAACGGTGGCAGGTACTTTACATTTTTCAGTTTTTAACTTTTTCAGTTTATTTTATCTTTTTATCTGAAGATACGGTGGGCTGACTTTTTCAACGGTCAACTATTTGCTCTTACTCTTAGGATTTAAAATTCCCTTTTAAATCATCAATTAGATCATTGATAAATTTTATCGAGTCTTTCGTTTACTCTCCTGAAGCAAAAATGAGATCATCACACAGTTTCAGTATGCATAGCCTTCAACATGTTCAGCTTATCACATCCAATTATTTGTATTGATCCACAACTAATCCAGTCTGTTTCAGGCTGCCAGGGCTGGGTAACGAGTCAATACCCGTACCAGCTGAGTGTGTATTCAAGATCCACAAGACCAGTTTAAACGAGTTCCGGAGGAGGAGAGAGTACTTGGATGACAGGTACACTTATTATAAAGTTCTAAATAACAGATAGTGTAAACGCTGATATCTTATCTTTCTCTAAAAAACAGAATCACAAAGCTTGCGTCAATTTGCTCTGTCAAAAGCAATATTTCTAAGATAATTTAAACAGTACATATTATTAAGGTACACTAAAGTGGTTAACAACAGAACAAAGAAACTAATAGAGGTATGGGCTATGAAGGAAGTTAACAATCTGAACAGGTTGAGGAGAGCGGGGATATTGTGTCCAGAAGTGGTGGCTCACAGAAAACAGTTGCTACTTCTCAGCTTTATTGGTAAGGGTGCCTGAAGTGGTGGCTCACAGAAAACAGTTGCTACTTCTCAGCTTTATTGGTAAGGGTGCCTGAAGTGGTGGCTCACAGAAAACAGTTGCTACTTCTCAGCTTTATTGGTAAGGGTGCCTGAAGTGGTGGCTCACAGAAAACAGTTGCTACTTCTCAGCTTTATTGGTAAGGGTGCCTGAAGTGGTGGCTCACAGAAAACAGTTGCTACTTCTCAGCTTTATTGGTAAGGGTGCCTGAAGTGGTGGCTCACAGAAAACAGTTGCTACTTCTCAGCTTTATTGGTAAGGGTGCCTGAAGTGGTGGCTCACAGAAAACAGTTGCTACTTCTCAGCTTTATTGGTAAGGGTGATGGTGCCTGATTTCGGTGCAACTCATAACCCTTGGGGTAGATTTTTTTTGTTAGGACAGTTTTAAACTTGCCAAATAAAAAGTATAAATAGGTTTTTAATCAGGATCTAACGGTGTTCCGGCCCCGACCCTCCACGATGCTGCCTTCTCATCCGACCAGTTAAAATCCGCCTATCAGCAACTGCTATCCGGCATGATGGTCAGCAATATACTGAGTAGTAAATTAAATTCTTGTCACTCTAATCTAACCAAATCAACGCTATTTTTATAATTTTAAAAATTTCACCGTGTAATGAAACTCATTGTAAGTGACAAAACTTTCCTTCATTATTTATTTCCTTTTGATAATTTGCTGTCCAACTATGTATTAAAATTCATTTATGAGAGAAGAGAAAGACCATATTTGGACGCAAGGAGAGTTAGGAATCCTCGGACTACATTAAATCAATTCCTTCTATAACGTCCTGAACAAAACTTAATTCGTTATGATTTATCACATTTGACTTCATTTTTTATTTTTGATTTATTTTATTTTTCTAAAAGCTATGTTTTTTAATGAGCAAGTCTTATCTGACAAGACACTACAAATAACACTTCTTAGTGAGTTGATAATATTAATGATACTTAATTAATTAATTAATGTTTCAGGCAATGCACAGTAAAAGTAAGCTAGTACACGCTGATCTTAGCGAATATAACTTACTTTGGTCTAACGGAGTTTTGCACTTTATAGACCTATCACAAGCAGTCCTTACTGACCATCCCTCAGCTCTTACTTATCTATACAGGTAGTTAATATGTCTAGGTAGTTATATTGGGGGTGAGGTTGCCTTATTTCTCTATTTCCAGAGTTGGTTTTTAACAGTTACGATGAGTGGTTCACGTGATGACAGATCTTTTCGTATTTTCGAGCTTTTTATTTGTTTGGTTTCAAAAACAAGTCCCATATAATAACAGTACACTGCGCACAAATACTAATTATTACATTGTATTTGTAATAAACTAACTCAGTAGTGTAGTGGCCTGAAGTGTAGAGAAAAGGGTTTAGATCCCCTGACGAGCGTGACTACCTATTTAGCTGTGTCTGAAATGATATTAATTTTAAGCATTTTAAGTTTTGTGAGAATCTAGCAACATATAATATGCTAATATATGATAATTATATGCTAATTTTAATCAGTATTATGATAGTATTACTTGCACTTATAATATTGATGGACACACTGCACGAACATACTTTGATATAATTATTTTCAGTGTAACACTTCCAAATTACAAACATCACATTAACCTGATATTTAACTGCCAGAAATTGTATGAATGTTATACAAACATAAAATCAGAAATCCTGTGTACTACACAAATATTTCAATTTTCAGAGATTGTACGAATATGTACAAATATTTCCACTCTCGGGGGTTGAAGAATGTCGCAGATCCTAGGAAAATGTTTTGTCACGTGACAGGATTGGAAGTAGAGTACACAGATGAAGCTACTTTTGTGGCTAGGGTAAGTCTTATTTATGTTGTCTCTTGTTACTGCTCTAATCTTAGTTTCATCTCTGTTCATTCAGAACTTGACTAGCTATGAGTTGTGTAGGATATCACTAGCTGAAGCTATAATGTCAATCAGATCGTTTCCTTAAAACTATGAAAACAATTGTATAACAGCTTTGCAAATTTCCACAGATAGAGCACTTACAACGAAAAGAAATAAAAGACTTCAAGCATGGTTCAACAGCTACTGACTACGCTTTTGAGACATCTTTTCAAGAGACAATCCTTTTATCTGATAGTGATAGCGAAGAAGAGGAGGAAGAAGAAGAGGAGGCTAGGGGAGAAGAAAGTCAGCAGGAAGGAGACAGGGGGGAGGAGAGTTTACAAGGTAATGCAGAACCTTGTAGCAGTACAGGACAGGAGTAAGGATTACTGGGGGAACTTTCTGTTGAGTAGGACTTTGTGAATGGTTTTATTGGAGTTGGGGAAATGTGTTAGTTTAGAAATACTTAGTTCACAAGTGCTGTGAGTTGTAATTGTAACATTAGCTATTGGGAGACTATTTAGTTTATTAACAGTTCCTAAAAAATGCTAATAGTAGGACTTAGGAGAATCTGATTTATTTACTTTAGTCTGATTTATTTAATTCTGATCCTCTTGGTTGACATTTTGACCTTTCAAAACATTTTTAGGTATGTACTCATTTATTGTAAAAATGTTTTTATTGTGAAAGTTAGTGAATTAATTTCTTTAACTGCTTTCCATAGAAATCCAAACTCTTCGTTATCATTGACTACAATTCGCCAAGTGAAAATATTTTTAGAAATTCACTGGCTGTTAAAACGATAATGATGATAATCTTTAACAGTGCTTTTACAAACAGCTCTCCCCTTGGAATGTCACAACACTACTAACAGATAAGAAAGGAATGTAACACCAGCCAACATGTGGCAAACAAGAGTTAACAAGATATGGCAAATGTCCAAATGGTTTGTGGGAGGAGGAGTTCTCTCCGTTTTATTCTACGATAACGTGGGCTACGTCCACACTGTCCGGGGCCGGTCCATGTCCCCCACCCTGAACCCTGGTCCAACACGTACCCTACTCCGGGAGCGTGTCTGGCTGAGCAAGTTCTCCTTCACACCGCTGGTGGGTGACATTGTGGTGTTCAGGTCACCTAAACACGGTAACAGACTAGCAATGAAGCGTGTTGCAGCTACTTCTGGACAGACTATCGTACCGAGTAAGTTAATGAAGAGTGGTGGAAGTCCAGTGCTGATAAAACCCGGGTATGTGTGGGTGGAGGCGGATAACAGGGACACTGCAGGCAGGGACAGTAATGAGTACGGGCAGTTACACGAGAAGATGATTGTGGGGAAGGTTACGTGGTTACTGTGGCCTTGGTCTAGGATACAAGATTTGAGGAAGACTCAGCCTCCTTATTTCAGACTCAATGATCAGACTGAATCTGATCAGACTGAATCTGATCAGACTGCATCAATATTTGAACAGACTAAAATGGTTCCTGAAGGATAAAGTTTAAATGTTATGATACTGTTAATCATTTGATGACCCTTAAAGATATGATTTGAGCAAGAATTTTTTTTCCAATTTTAGTTTTTTTATGTTTTGGTCAAAGGATTGAGAGTCTTTTTGGATTAGGACTTAACTTATTAATCGTCTGTAGAATGTACATTGTACAGTCGACGTACTTACCAATTTATAGATAATTTATTTGCTACATGATTTCTAGGTAATTTATTTCCTACACATTGTGTTTGAATGCTTTTATAAATACAATCTTAAATCAAGTGAACGGACCATTGTTAGGTTTTGAAGAGAAATATGTAATTTTACCTCCGCAGCTTTAAACTGTGGAACAACCCGTTAAGTTTATTTTGTTGTGAGCGTAATAATATATCATAAAACCCATTATTTTACATTAACTTTGTAGTTGCTTATTAGATTATATTATGTTCAATAACTGAAAATAAATATAGTTGCTGAGGTGATGCTTGGTGGGGAGATAGTTGAGACTAGATGTAATTACAGATCCATCTCTTGTAACCGAGGTTTGTACTACTATCACTACAATCATTTACTGTTGAAGTTCAGAAATTACAAAGTTTAGTGTTTACAGCAGCTCGAGCTTCAATCAAAATGGGTTGAGCTAACAGATCCCATGTTTTCCCCACTTACCCTGACAAATCCCTACTAACATACACGACGCACGTGTATGATCAAGTGTCAACTGACGTGTTAACTGACCCACGTGTTCAGGTACGGGCACAGCAGATATACACAATGGTACTGACTCTATAGTGTACGGGGGTGGGAGGTGTGTGGTAGTGTTGACTAGAAGTGGACACCGTTACTCCACTTCACAGTATCTTCCTACTACTAGTACTGTTAAATCTGTGGCATGGGTTAAACTGGTATGCGCTTATCTATTTATTTCCAGTAGTACCCATTATCAATGATTATGTTTTTATACACGCAGAGTGGATTCTTTACCAGAAAAACTAGGTATCATAAATGTTATCCAATAATAGAGGTAAACAGATTTCGAACAGAATCTGATTTCAGTTTTCTCTTCAGGACTCAGCAGAAATAGCAGTGGTCGGGTGTGAAGATGGTCGGGTGTACTTGTGGAATGTGAAGAATGTGGATACTATCGAGATATGCAAACACGGCGACTCTATCGTGTACCTTTCTGCTATCTTGTGTCATGGTATGTGCTTTAATTTACTTATTTATTTATTTATGGTAAGTGCTATGTACTCTAGTACAACTACTCCCTGCTACTAGAGTAATGACCAGGGTCTGCTATGCTATTATCGAGCACTTCATGATATGCTCACAGGTTAAAAAAAAAGTATTTATTGATTGAAAGGTCAAAATCTTGAGTTATATTCACTTTGATAGCTTGTGACCAAGTTAAGATCTTGATTATTTAAAATCATCCAACAAATCGAGTTAAAGTTTAATTTTGATGTTTTCTATCCTATCATATTGAATATTCCACATTAGTTTCTCCCCAGATGTGATTTACATAGTGAGTAGTGGTGGTGATTCTATTGTTAAAGTTCATTGCAGCAAAACCAACCAAATAAACGAACACTCCTCCATCACATTACCAAGGTAAGGATACAGTATCATACATTATTATCAAAGTTTAACGTCAATGTTGAATCTGCATGTTTTCATTTAACAGTCGATATTTTGGTTTTGTTAGTGAAATTTCCAGTGCTATTTTCTGCACTCAATACAAATGTTTACCAGGCAAGGGTTTGCACATTCTGTATCAGTTACACGTGTAAATGGCGCCGTGATATTGGCTATGGGAACAGATGATTCCTCTGTATCACTGTACCATATATCGGACTCTGAAACAATACTTCTCACTAAATTAACGGGTATTGTACTTTTTTTTCAAGATATTTTCATCCTTATTTAATCATTCATCAGCTTTGAATCTGATCTCGTGTAAAAACGGCAACAAAACTATTTTTTTAAATTATTTAAATTTTCGAACTAGCTTAAGTTTCTAAGATACATAATATCTATCAGGTCACGAAGACTGGGTGAGAGGGCTAGATTTCAGAAGTACAGAGACGGGTTGTATACTAGCTAGTGGCAGTCAGGATCACTATATCAGACTGTGGAAAATAGAGCTAGTGCAGGAGGACTTAGATGCTAAGGGATTCAAACTCAACGAGAAGTTGTTTCAGATCCAAAATAGAAAGTATAGGTGAGTTTGTTTTTTAAGTTTCCACGTCGTAGCGACAGTTTGAAAGTTCTGAAAGGGTCTTTATTTTATTGTTGATGGAATGCGCCGTCGATAGCCAGTTAGAGTTTCGGCATCGAAAACGTGATTTTCGCGCCGCGCGCATTTCGATTCAATTCCATTCAATTTTATCAATCATCGAATGAAATGCCGATAACTTGTGATAAGATATGATAATTGATATTTGATAAGCCACGATATTCAACTGTTATCTGTCATAAATATCAGTAAACTTTGAGAATGTTAAAACAATCTAGAAATAATTTACAATTTGCCAGGCATAACTTTCAAACCCCACTTCCCATTCCCCAGGTTGACATTGGATAATATTCTACTTTCTCACGAGAACTTTGTAACGTCTGTGAGGTGGATGTCTAATGGAATGTTGTTATCTTCAAGTATGGACAAAACTCTCATTGTATGGCAACAGGTACAGATATTTTTATTTGCACGTGGTTTGTGTGAAACGCACTGAATAAGCGCGTAGACTGATCTATCCGACCTTTATTTCACTCCTGTAACACTAAGCTGAACCATGAGTTAATCGCTGAGTTTATTAATTTGCCAGGATACCGAAGGAATGTGGACGGAGAGTGTGCATGTGGGGGAGGTTGGAGGTAACAACTTAGGGCTATACGGAGCTTTCCCCACAGCAGACTGCTCACTCATTGTCTCCCATGGCTTTCAGGTACTCATTTTAGTGTTGATTGGCGCCTTTACCAATTTTATATGTTGTATATTATTAGAGTTTGTCTGATAAGAAATTATTAAAAAAGTAAATCAAGAAAACAGAAATTGCAACACATGTGGGTATCGAACCCGCTATCTTTCGATCACTTCGGCGTCAAATCATTAATCATTAGGTCTTTAGCATGTTTTTGGAACTTTTTCAAGATCACCAAGGTCTTGATGCGAACAATATGCAAACTCTTGCAAAATAACTAAAACCAGATGGCGGTAGAGGCGGTTGTGTAATGAACGAATTCCCAGTATTTGTGTTTACGAAGTAACCCCTTCTCTAGCTGGCTGTGAAAAGAACGTATTTAGGTAGTATATTCCCTCATGAGGCCTAGGATATAGTTTTATATATTAGTAACAATTTGCCAATTTTGTGATACAAAGTTCAATTCTTCAAGATGCACTTATATTTTAGACATAAAACATAGGTCTTGAACCCGCTACCCCTTGATCATATCAGTTTTAAGTTGTTGACCTAGGAGCCTTTTTAAAAAAGCAATTTCCAGTATTATGGTGTGTTAGGATTGAATCTCGGATTGAGCTTCTCCAAAATAAACAACCAGATTGCGGCGGGGGTGTTTCTAGCGTAAGCTAAATCTAAACAGTGATTTGTATTATCGAAGTAACCCCTGCTCTAGCCGGCTGTAGACAAGCAGGAAATATCTCTTATTTACATTGCTTTTTACATCAGAACTCAGGAGGTCCATTACAAAGCAACATTATTCTCAGGGAGCATTGCAAGCCTGGAGGACCACAGAGGGAGGCTGGGTCGGGGTCCCCATGCCTGGAGGACACTTCGGTCCTGTCAAGGACCTGAGTTGGGCACCCAGCGGTAACTACCTTATCAGTGCCAGTACTGACCAGAGTGTACGAGTGTGTGGCGAGTGGGAGGGACAGGGCTGGTATGAAGTAGCCAGGTCTCAGGTTCACGGACACGATCTCAGCTGTGCTAGCTTCATTTCGGATAGCACTTATTTTAGTGGCAGCGAGGAGAAAGTTCTCAGGGTATTTCAGGTAGTTTTCTGATTCAGCTTACAAATAAGATCTGTCATGGGAGGTGCATAGTATATCTCGAAAATTATCAAAATTTACGATCAAAATCAAAATTAGTTTATTGTGGGTTTACTTCGAAGCCCTCTCTATTTTAAGAAGCATTTGTTTTTAACTTGTTGAATGGGATCTGAGATTTATTGACAAGTTTTATAGTTTATACCCTCAGGCTACCTCTACATTTTTCTCCAATGTTAACGCAATTACGGGTAGTAACATAGTTCCCACGGTTCCGGGCGTGATCGGGGCTCACATTCCTGCTTTAGGTAAGCATGCTTACAGTTTTTATGGATTTGTTTAAAATATTGTTCGCTTATTTTGAGATTAAGGCTTAAATTTATAGTTTCTTTGAGTCTGGTCGAAGATTAGAACGATATCTGAGTTAATAATATCTGAGTTAGGGAGAGGGAGTTAATTATCTTGCTTTTCTTTCGTTTTAAATGTAGATTAATGAGGGGATGGAAGAGGAAGTCGAGGGAGAGGGTGAGCCGTGTAAAGTTAGTCACCATGTCGTCAGGGATGGTGAGGGGTACTGATGGCAAGAATAAGGACACTGGCCTGCTAGAATCCGTCTTCGCAAAATCTACTAAGTTTTACCCCATACCAAGCTATAATATTTCTATTACATTATTGCCTTTATACTTAGAACAAATATTAAAGAGATCAATGGCTACTATTAAACAACTTTACCCTCTTCAGGGCTGTCAAACAAAGCGATAACCCCGGAGGACATGAAGAGTGCAGTGGAGCACACTGGTACAGCTAATGTCAAGGATTACGACATACCCTACCAGGTAGCCTTCGCTCCTGCTACTCTGGTGGAACCTCCTCTGGAGGAGGTCTTGTTGCAGGTCTGTTCGTTATTATGTCGCTTTGCACAAGATTCAATTTTCTTGAATTAGGTTAAAATTGATTTCACTGTTATCAGATTGAAAATTATTTAGGGCACTCAGACCAATCAATGTTCCTTACAACCCAAACCTAAAATTTAGTTCCTCCTAAAACCCATGACATATTAAGTGTTCAAGACCCCTAATCTAATTTGATCCTTCGTAAAGTTAAGATTTGAACAGAAACTAAGTTTACCAACACCTAACTAAATATTCCGTTCTCAAACTAAACCTCTAATATTTCTTACAACTTAAAACCTTGAACATTTAAAGGTCCCCTAACCCCTAACCCAAACACCTGTGCCGTTTCACTAATAACCGTTACGAGTTTACAATGCCCGCTCCCCGAGACGCCAAATTCCTCCTTCAAGCTACACTTGTTGCTCGTTTACAGTGGTCGCGGCACCACAACTGCAAGTTTCTATCATACAAACTTTACAGAATTATCAGACGCTTCTCAATCTGAAGATACGATTTTTTTTCCTAAAATCTTTTGCAATAATAGCTAACATGATCATCTCAAGGCTACTTAAATTTACGGTTTCAAACTGAGAACTTAAACATATATGTAATGTACCATCAATTGGTCTACTGACCCATACCCTCCCGAAAGTTTCCTTTTCCAAACACGTTATGGAACAGTGTATACCAGTGTGGCCTTAGGGACCCCTCTCAATTTCCTTCCAACCTAAACCTTAAAGTATTACAGGTATCTAGCCTTCATTCGGAACTCTCCTCCTTCGAATAACTTATGAAAGTATTAAAGTATACTAAACTATGGCGAAATAAATTTCGTTAAACTAACCTGATGAAAGTAACATGTTCCTCAAGCCCTTAACCAAATTTCTTTCATACTACGCTGTATGAACAGTCACAAGTGGTCCTCAGCTAACTCAAATGATTCTTTACGAAACTATGTCGGTAAATGTGTCTCAAGCTAACCAGATAGTGTCATTTTCAACTCAACCTAGACACCAGTTTCTCTCCTCAACCCATCAAGAATTCCTTGTTCAAGCTAAAGGAGGACAGGATGAGTTTCAGTTGTCTCAATGATAATCCTAACCTCGAATATTTCCTTTTCAAACTAAAACTTATGAACAGTATTACAAGTGTCTCCTCAAACCCCTAACCTCAAATATTTCCTTTTCAAACTAAAACTTATGAACAGTATTACAAGTGTCTCCTCAAGCCCCTAACCTCAAATATTTCCTTTTCAAACTAAAACTTATGAACAGTATTACAAGTGTCTCCTCAAGCCTCTAACCTCAAATATTTCCTTTTAAAACTAAAACTTATGAACAGTATTACAAGTGTCCCCTCAAGCCCCTAACCTCAAATATTTCCTTTTCAAACTAAAACTTATGAACAGTATTACAAGTGTCTCCTCAAGCCTCTAACCTCAAATATTTCCTTTTCAAACTAAAACTTATGAACAGTATTACAAGTGTCTCCTCAACCCCCTAACCTCAAATATTTCCTTTACAAACTAAAACCTATGAACATTATTACAAGTGTCCCCTAACCCCCTAACCTCAAATATTTCCTTTTCAAACTAAAACTTATGAACAGTATTACAAGTGTCTCCTCAAGCCCCTAACCTCAAATATTTCCTTTTCAAACTAAAACTTATGAACAGTATTACAAGTGTCCCCTCAAGCCCCTAACCTCAAATATTTCCTTTTCAAACTAAAACTTATGAACAGTATTACAAGTGTCTCCTCAAGCCCCTAACCTCAAATATTTCCTTTTCAAACTAAAACTTATGAACAGTATTACAAGTGTCTCCTCAACCCCCTAACCTCAAATATTTCCTTTACAAACTAAAACCTATGAACATTATTACAAGTGTCCCCTAACCCCCTAACCCCAGAACACGCTGTGGCCGGAGTTACACAAGCTGTACGGACACGGTTACGAAGTGTACCAATGCGCCGCCTCCCCGGACGGACGAGTCCTGGCCTCCTCCTGCAGAGCTACCCAGCTTCAGTTCGCTGCTGTGATCCTGTGGGAAGCGGGCACCTGGACCAAGCTGGCAGAGTTACAACATCACAATCTTACTGTTACTAGGTAATCTATCAGACGCTTTCTCAGATTGAAGATACATTTTTTATTGCTCTAAAATCTCTGTTGTTGCTAATAATCGCAACATAATCAGCCGAAGTTTTGAGCTTGCAAAGTAGGGTTTCCTAGTGTGGATATATCAAAATAAATTCGGTAATGTACCGGTAATTTGGTAGTGTAGGTACACTGACCCACATGACCCGTCCAGGATGAAGTTCTCCCCAGACAGCCGTTACCTGGTGACAGTGTCACGTGACCGTGAGTGGGCAGTTTGGGATATCCCCTCTCACTCCCTCCTCGCCACCTCCCCCTCTAAAGCTCACTCCAGGATAATCTGGGGTTGTGCTTGGTTCGGAGACTCCTCCTCCTTCGCTACCGTCTCCAGAGATAAGAAACTGAAAGTATGGGACGAAGATAAGAGTGAGGGTAAGGCATCCTGGAGGGAAGCGTGTTCGAGAACGTTCCAAAGTTCAGTAACCGCGGTGGATATATCACCACGTGGTCTGATACTATTAGGATTTGAAACGGGGGATATTTGTATAGTGGAGAGGAGAGGTGACGTGATAGAGTTGCTGAGCAGTCTGCCCAGACACCAGTGTGCTACCCTTACCATTAACACAGTGCAGTGGAGACCGGGTCAGGGTAAGGGGGAGGAGGAGGAGATGATGTTTGCAGCTTGTTCAGATGATAATTCTATGCTCATTAATACTGTTTCTATGGCACTGGAAGTAGCTCATGAATCATAATCAATAATTTTAAGATTGAGTTCTAGAGAGCATTTGATGAGTTAGATTACTGAATAGATTAAACATTTTATTTATTCACAGCAGGTTTTTCTTTTTTGTGAAATTGCCTAATTTGGGTATTTTTATGGTTTTAATTTATTTATTGTGTATGAGTTTTCAATCTTTTAGTCTTCACTCCAGCTCGGTTACTTCTTCCTCCCATTGAACACGAAAATAAATAAATATTTTACGTTATGCCTACTATTATTACTATTGTCTATCAACTATGATCGTATTTTAAAGCGAGATTTGTCTGCTCACCTTTACATGCGACAAAGTATTCACAGAAAGGATGTCGAGAAAGAAGGATGAGGACGATGAAAACCAAGAAAACCTGATGATCCTCAGACTTCCCGACAAATACGCTCAGGTAAACTGTCAGCTGACTTTGTAATATAATTAAGGTATTTAGTGATTAAGTGAACTTGTAGACTAACAGTAGGATCATACAACAAAACCCCGATTTGCTGGGTGTTTTTTATATCCCCATAATAATTGTATACTTTATTTAATGTAGATCAAACTACGAATTACTGGGTTAGAAAGCCCCAGTAAATTGGCAATTTACTGTATAATATATAATAATATTTAGCTAAATAATCCTTAATACTTGCAATATTATCACATACAACACCACAGAATCTTGTATTAGATATACTACTACTATATATAATACTACTACTATATATAATACTATATAATACTACTACTGATACACACTATACAGTTTCACATAACGACAGTCCGTGTTTTACAGACAGTGAGACAGGCAGTAAGTAAGGGTAACCTACGTGAGAGATTACAGGTGGACATCAAGGATGACTGCAGGAACGCGCTGCTCAAGGTAATGTGTTTATTTAATTACGGTTATTTAATTACGTAGAACTTTTAATATTTTACGTTTTCTGCTAATTTATCTTATAGTTATTACTAGAAAACCCGTAGTCACTGGGAGGAAGCCAATAGTATTTTTTGTAGGTAAGTTTAAATTGCGTCAAAAAATATACTACACGACTGAAGATACAGCCAATTAAAATGTTGCTCGTACTAAACACAGCGTAATATCAACAAAACCGATCAAAATGACGTTAAAACAATCATTGCACGTGCACGTGCGTGTAATAACCCTCGCAACCATGGTTACTACGCAAGTTCATATTTTTCGTTTGATTTGCACGTGGGCGGTCGTACAGTGTACGTACAGAAAGAATTCTCTGATTTATAATATAGACTAGAAAACCCGTGGTCACAGGGAGGAACCTAATGGTATTCTTTGTTAGTAAGATTAAATCGCGTCAAAAAATATCCTACACAACCGAAGATACAGCCAAATAAAATGTTGCTCGTACTAAACACAGCGTAATATCAACAAAACCGATCAAAATGACGTTAAAATAATCATTAAAATAGGTATATTCTCGATAGTATTGCCTGAATAAATAGTATCTGGAGAGAAGATTTGTAGGATACAATACTTGAGTAGGAACAGTGTACCTCGTGACGTGTAAAGCTGTATGTACTTCGCACGACAATAGCTGGATAACGCAATATTGTTCACACACGTTTCGTGTACCTTCTTAGCTTATCAATTACAGTGAATGGGATATTGACTTTGAGTAGGGAATGTTAGGACATGACTGGATCTTGTGATATAAAGTAAGAATAGCTCATCGCATGTAATCCTCAACAAGCTAGTATATTTTTACTACAAGCTTACAGGAAAATGTTTCATTCTTTTATTTTGTGCTCGATATACTCGTCCTTGGTCAGCTGCCTTATAGAGCGAAACATATCTATTCATTCCTATAGCTCATCTTATATACCTCATATTCACGCTGTTATCAATCTACCTTTTTGTTCATATTGATTCGTGATCAAAGGGACAGTTTCAATATTCCTTATTATTACAACCAGTTCCTAACCATACATTTTTATTGTACGATTTTAAAGCTTTATTCGAGTATGAGTGTGTTTATTTTATTATAACTTTTCAACTGTTACGTTGCTAATTTATCTTATAGTTATATATTAATTATAGATAAAAAGAATGCAGTTCAATCAGAAAATTATGGTTTGTAATATTAAATATTTGTGTTCGCATCCGCACACCATTTGTACTGGAAGGCAGTGGCTGAAGTTGTTGAGGATTACTAAAAGTACAAATAAACAAATTACTACACAGACAAACCATTTTGGTATCTTTAATGTTGCAACTATACAGCTTTATATTAATAAATTGGTTACTAAATAGTGAATTTCCCGAAATCAGTAAGGTATATAACGTGTCACCTGTTAATCACTCAATCGACTTCATAATGACTTCACGCCTGATAGTTATGGGTATCAAGTTACATTCTCATTTCATAAGATTTCGTTACTGTTTGTAATTTGTTCGCTCGTGATTTGAGTCGCCCAATCGGTTCATATGAGGTCATTTCGCTGGTGACCGTGCGTTTTAGGTTCCAATCCAGAAACAGTGCTACTCAACAGCATGTTAAAGAAGCTATGATGTGATTCTGTTTTTCTAAATTTTAAGATTTTCCCATGAACAACCGCATCGTTCATCCTAACTTTGAAATCCTAACTTTGAAATCCATACTGCTTATCTCTGCCAGCAGAATTATGCTCATATTTCGCCCCTTTTTAATACGAATTTGACGTTGGAAATTTTGACATTTAAGTTCACTTTTTTGACAACTTCAACTTTTGTGCCAAACACTGATTCCAAACAGTGTTATTTCCCTTTCCCGGTATTTCAGGGATCAACAGTTCTAACCGCCCTACATTTCAGGTTATGACATGGTTGTAACATGGTTATGACATGGTTAGATGGTTGTAACATTGAGATTCTGATTTATAGACTATAACCCTTGTTCAATGTCCACCAACAGTGTTCACTCTGTGAATATCAGTGGGATTGTGTACGAAAATGTCACAACGTTATGGCAGCCCCACCTCAACTCCCTCGAAGCTGCCTTAGCTTTTGTGATTCCCGGTTTATACCTAGTGTTAACGTCTGCTCTCTTGTATAAACTTGGAGCTAATCGCTTAGGGTGGCGCCAAATCGTCAAGATTTATCAGGATAAGAAGAACTGCATTTACTTTGAGGAGTATTTTGGAGAGGAGCTATTCGCCTTGATAACCGAGCAAGTTGATCCACAGATTAAGCTGAAAATAAATATGTATCGACACGAATGTAGGGCGAGAGAGAATCAGATCCGATTAGCAGCTAATAGTCGACCTGCTGCAATACCCAGCTTTAGTCACACTTCTCCTTTCACTGCAGGTGCTAATCAAGGCTTTACTGCAGGTGCTAATCAAGGCTTTACTGCAGGTGCTAATCAAGGCTTTACTGCAGGTGCTAATCAAGGCTTTGCCGCACCTTTTCCCCGTGGAACATCTTCAAGGATGACGTTTCAAAGACCTAGGTTTATTAACCCAGGGATGAATATGGCAGGTATGACAAACATGCGCCAGACAGTCCCCTTCCCAACAGGAAACCCGAATATCTCCAGAGCTCAACTCCTCCCCTCTATCCGCCCACTACTCCTCCCCTCACCTCACAACACCATGACCTTACCACCTGAAATATACGAGCTGTTTGACAAGCCTGTGCTGTTCAAGTATCATGTCTTCAGGCGGACTGATGGTATCTATATCAGTGCTTCTGGTGTTCAGCTTCCTATTAAGTTCTGTGATCAGCTGGCTGGTACAAAGATGGCGGGTATACAGAGCGTTTGGGTGTCTGGGAAGCAGCTGATAACTGCACAGAAGTGCAGCCCTTTTTCTTGTGCAACCCCCAAACTTGTGAGGTTAGTCTGGTCGATGTTAAAACTCATCGCACTCCCAATAGGGAAGATAGCTGTGGATCATGCAGATGTTATGGTGGATGTGTATTATTTCGTACGGCTGGATTCAGGTGATCTCATTCCCAGAGCCATTACCCGGAATGTGTTCGTCACCTACGGTATTCTGACATTTGGAATACTCGGTGCGATTAAGTCGACCGTGTTTGCTTATCTTGTGCTGAAAGTGGTCAAGAATAGCTACGACGAAACTGCCAATGTCAGATCCCACCTCTTGAAGGTAATGGCAGCTTGCTTCAAAATAGTGGTTGAAGATGGTCCCGAGTTGCTACTAGAATATTTCTACGTGGACAAGTACGTCACTTCCAATCCTCCTTGGTGGATCATCTTCAAAGATGCAGTCACAACCCTACTCTACATCCTGCCCATCGTGAGGCTTGTTAAGTCAGGAAGTGGGAGTTACCAACTGCTGACAACCTCCTCAACTATCTACTTGGACATATTCGGGACTCACCTGGACTTGTTCAAATGGTCACGTGTTTTTGTGTGTTGTGCTTTTGTCCATTTTTTCTTTAGTTTTACCATGATATTCCGTGTGATGGGCATGATTTATCAGTACAGTTCAGCGAATATAGCGCAGCACTGTTTAAATGCTACTGATATGGGAGAGTTGGTTCACACACCCTTCAGTTATAAGTGTCTGAACGGGTTTGATTATGTTATCCTCATTTTAATGGCCATTGTCGTCATGTTGATTTTAATTATCTGCTCGTATGTGTTTTTTGTCAAAATGGGAGATTTGCTGAAGTATTTTCGATCTGAACACAAAAATGTTGTGAGATATTCTGTTTATGGGGAAAATTCTTACGTGAAGGAAGCTGAGCGAAAGGAGAATAGCGAGTCTCGTGAAACAGGAACATTGATACGATTCAACTGTGAGACGAGGAAGTATTTTAAGGAGACTGTCAGTAAAGACAAGGACTGTAAAATCTCTGTTTGCCAGTGGAGGGTTAAGAACCATTTCTCGGAGCCGACCTAAATATTGTGGCCTGGTTATCCTGTTTTTGTAGAATAGGTTTGATGAAAGAAAATTTTAAATGAAAATACAATTGTGTTATTTTATAGTTTCTTTAATTGGTTTCTTTAATTGTCTTATTATTAATTGTCTTATTTAGACATTAATACGTTATAGATCATAGAATAGCTAGGTAAATCTTTTTCTTTTCTTTTCTCTTCCTGTTTTGAAAGTGTGATTCTGCACCCACCGGCCCACGTTTTTAAAGATATAACCTGCCAAAACCCATGGTGCCCTGGTGGGAGAGGGGTCCCGAATTGGCCACTTGCCAAGCTCTGTTACTTGTTTTTGCAGAAGGCCAGCAGTCACCACGTATCGAGGTGACAGCCAGCCGAAATGTTTGTCAAGGTCATAGTTTTAGCAGTACCTTCTTTACAAAGCGTGGAGTTCAAATCCCGCCGTATTAGAGCCCTCCACAGGCATTTATAGAGTTGTGATTTCAGTGCGAGTAATTTGTTTTGCAATTGCCTTTCCTTTTGGGCTTCCATGTTCCGCGTGTATGCATGCTAAGTCTGACTGTTGTACTGTTGAGTGCAGACGGTTTTGTCATACATTGAAGAGTCCATGCTGCACTAAATACAGGCATGAATTCAGAACGTGTTTTTAATTTACAGTTTATTTAATTGGTTTAACGTTACAATTGATTGTAGTTAAAAATAAAAGTTAGTACAGTGACATATCAATATTAATAAGTCGGATGGAGCCAAAGTACTATTGAATTGTGTTTGGCCATTCGAATAACGTTTGTCCTGAAAAAAATGAGAGTTCTAGCTTCTCAGATAACCGAGATATGAAGCATAACGAGTTTGTTCATTACGTGTGATCAGGTGATTGGGCTGAGGCTAGATCCGCATTATAGGAATCGTGCAGAGAACCCAATTACGGTGTCGTAATTGGGTAATCATTGATTAACCAATCAATTTTGATAACGAGATAAACAAATTGCTTGATAACTTCGTCATTCTAAATCCGTTTCGCACCATCTTTTCGGATTATATTCCGGATTAAATGACCTATTGCAATATGTTACAACGGAGTCTTTAATATGTTCACCCAATTCAATGTTGATTGGGTGTGGCCCCAAAAATCGAATTACCAAATTTTGGTGACCGAATCCTGGAACAAGTAGGTACAGTATGCTATCTCTCAAATATAAAACACTGCGGTGGTTCCAGTTTCCACCACGATTGATCATTGAATAACGAACACAATGAATAACCATCGTACTGTGATTCTATTTGCGATATCAAAATGTCTCCATATATCACGGTACACGATGAAATTCCATCAATAATTACAAACATTTAAATGAAAAAACGGATCTAACTTTCCTCGCTTTGTTATTTAGAACTAATTCCAACCAAACTCTATCGTATCGTGATCCTATTTGCGATATTAAAACTTCTGTGTACTTAGGCAAAACATATTTAAAGGCGTCCGATTGATCATTTCACCCTCGTTTTCACCATATATCACGGTGAAATTCCACCGAAACATATATTACATTTACTACAATACTACGGATTACACCAGAAATGAATAAATGGATCTAACTTTGATTGTCAATTAGAACAAATTCCAACCACCCAACTACATATTATATACGACTGCATCTACTACTTCGTTATGTGACTATATAATACGTTAACAGTTAAATGTTAATTAATGACAATAGTTAAGATCAAATTGCGTGATGTTATTACCGCCCTAGTGTCCACCGCCCTCGCGTCCACCGCCCTTGTGTCCACCGCCCTCGCGTCCACCGCCCTCGCGTCCACCGCCCTCGCGTCCACCGCCCTAGTGTCCGACGCCCTCGCGTCCACCGCCCTTGTGTCCGGTTCCCGCACCTTGTGAACGGGCATGGCATTTATTAATATCAGTTATTAGTCACATGAGATAGAAAAGAGATTCGATTCGTAAAGGAGTTAAAGTCACTGCATCTGTTGTCTGTGGAAGGGTTGTGTTTTAAGATAATGATCCTATCCGGGTAACCCCCATGGTTTTAGGACATTTTATTGGTGAACACAGAGGTCACTGGTCAGTGGACATACATAAAGGTAAATCCACTAACTTATATAACACAGATATATTTTTTTAATGACAAACCATTTTATATGATATCCAAGTTAAAATGATCGCAATTTTCGCGGATGATAATGTTACAATTTCAGATTGAAAATGACATACTGTCAGCAAGGATAGTTGACCTGCCGTGCATAGTTGAGTGTCAGAAAACTGTGGATAACAAAACGTTCTACAAATCTGGGGACATCTGCCAGATGTTACTGGTAAGTTTCACCGATCACAGTAAAACCCCGATTTACCGTGGAGTTTGGGGGAAAGGTAACAGCAGCGGGGAATCGGGGTTTGCGGCAAATCTTAGTGATTACCGAGCGTATCTCTTAATTATTTTATAGTGATTACAGAGCTGATCTCTTAATTTATTATAACTATCCAGTATCGAAGGAAAGTAGAGTATAACATACCATGTGCAGGTGGCCGAAACACCGCTAGAAGCGGAGGATGCGAACAGATCACAGCTGATAAGAAAGGAGAAGAACGATCACAAGAAATATGTTCACTCCCACGGTATAACCCCTCCCTTTAAGAACGTACGGAAGAAGCGTTTCAGGAAAACTGCTCCTAAAAAGATAATAGACGATCCTGAGGTGGAGAAAGAGGTAAGCAGCTAAATTTTGGTTCATCAGTTCTGTCATATTTTACTGAATTGCTCTTTTCTAATTGTTTTAAAGTTAAGCCTACAGATTAGGCTGATGTAATCTCCGACCGGAGTGACGTCCTACTTCGAGCAGATACCAGTGTTAGTATCTGAGTTTGAACCCTGTATTACTGAAATCAGATTAAGTTTTTTAAATCATATCTACTTTTCATATCTAAGTGCTAAACTAAAGAAAGTCAGCTAAAAACCACCAACTCAGGTTAGACGCCTACTACGAGCTGATATCAGTGCTATCAGCGTCCAAACGAGGATTGTATACGACAAACCACACTTGGCTCCGTCCTCCGTTCCGGAGAGTAGCAAGACTGTATTGGAACTACCAGGTCAGATAATGATGATCCAGTACAAATATTTCCGTGTTTCCTCACATATTTTGTGCGAGGCAGAATATTTTAGCTTCAGTCTGTTAATTAATTTAAGTTGAAATTGGGGGTTCCAGTTTGTCCAGGTCAGATTTTTTTACAATAATTTAAAGAATACAGTATGAAGTTCACTTCACTCCTTGCCTTATCGTACGAGGAGGACATTACTTTTGCAGTCCTACCATTCCAGTATACCACAGTAGACCACACTCCACAGTTCTAACAGATAACCTTATCATATATTATCTTCCAAATATGCCCCACCTCTCCACCAGAATCCACATCATTTACCTTCCATCCGAACACAATTTATTGCATCAATCTCTTTTGGCTTCACTCTTCTCCTTTTCATCTTGAATTTTCTTACAGACAGAGCCTCTGCTATAAAATCTTGGTTAGCAGTTTCGTTAAAGATAATAAAAAAGAGATGAAATCCCAACTATCTCTTATTTTTCTCGTGACTTTAACGATAAATTTGGCGGTCTGCCAAAGTTTAGTTCTGGACAACAACCAGTTTCTAATATACAACAAAGTGTACCATAAAGCCCGGCTGACCCAGTGGGGTAGTGGAGGTTCCAACGTGGGAACATACGAACATGCTCTCTACCCGGACCAGCTCTGGACTCTAGAACCTCATCCTTCACAAAAGGGGTGCTACTACATCATCAATGAAGTTTACTCTCAGTATAGGATCGCTAACTGGGTACACAGATTCGTAGTGTACAGTGGGCCCCACTTTAGCGACCAACTGTTTCGCTTTGTGCCCTCCGGAAATAACGATGGATTCTTTTACATCTACAGTTGCCTTTATAAAAACGACAGAATCGCCAAGTATGGTGTTGGAAATCAGCAAATTTCGATGTACAGCGGGCCACGTTACAACGATCAGATGTGGAAGTTAGTTCCCAGGTTCAAGGTAAACTTCTACACAGATGAGGTGTTTCACTTTGATAACAGGCAGGGATCCAGCCCCATCACTCGGGAGATTACTGTTACAACTGGCATCAAGAGATCCAGCTCACACACCATCACCAACAAGTCCACTTATAAAATGTCCGTGGAAGCATCAATGAAGGGAGGATTCAAGTTGTTCGGCATGAGCGCAACAGCGAAAGCCGACTACTCGTCCGAGTTGGAAACAACTTTCTCTGAGAACAATGAGTTGTCCTGGTCAAAGACTGAGAAGATCGTATTCATCATCCGCCCTGGGAAGAACTTCAAGGTGATGCAGCACAAAGTAAACTTTGACGGCCAGTTCAGTCACGACTCCTGTTCCCTTCTTACCAGCATCAAGATCTTTGAGAGTGATACGGCACACTTTGAGGACAAAGACAACTTTATCATTTCATACGTGCAGTAAGAATTCGTGTAAAAATGTTATGTAGCGTGAAACTCCTCTACAGTTTATCCTGGGACCTGGACGCTGGACATTTTAGAATTAAACCCAATATATTTTTTCATAAACATTCAATTGTTTTAAAACTTCTTACTCGTGTTTTTTTCTTTTCCTATTCAATAAAAGGGCAAATTCAATGTATATCAACAAAGAAAAGATCTTCATATAAATTGAGTTTTTATAAAAAATGTGCTGTCTTCGTGATGTTGGCCCCAGAGGGTAGCACTTATAAATCACCAAGCACTAACAGTTTTCAAGTCGATCTCAAAGCGTTATTCTTAAAACACCTTGTGGTATTCTCACTCTACACTGTTTCTCTGTTCTCGAATTAAACCACAATTAAAATCAAATCACAATTCATCGCGTACTGTACATTATTCAAGCTTTAATTAATCAAAATCTTTTAAAACAGTTACCACAACTCAACTTTGGTCCACATCAATGCTATGAGATTTAGCGTTCCTGTTCTTGCTAACCCACCTGCTGCCTACCATCCTGACCACCTTGTCCTCCTGCATGCCCTTCAGCTTCTCCACCAGGGGCTCCACCTGAGAGTATCCCAGGTCCTGCAGGTGGTCCACCCAGTACTTGCTATCCAGACTGTTCCTCCGGTTACAATGGTAGTACGCGTAGTAGACACACCACTGGGTCAACAAGTGCAGCTTCTCGCTGCTCACACTGATCTTAGGGAGTAGGTCTAAGCACCGGGAGATGTGTTCTGAAGCTATCATGATCTTGCCACTCGCGAAACAGGTGGCGAGGAGAAGGGAGGCTTCGAACAGTATGAAGGGGGAGGATATCCGGCTGATAACCCTGGAGAGGAGAGCCTCTGCACTCATTACTTTGTTGAGGTAGATCATCAGCTTGGCTAGCGAGAGATTGTATTTTTCCTCCAAAATAGGAGATGAAATTATTGCTCTCTTGTAATATTCTTGAGCCTCAATGTACAGAACTTCATTGGAACATTTCCTAGAATCTGTATCGATCCTCTGAATGATTTTCAGTACAGCTGTGGGCGAAGTTAGAGCTAACCTCCGTTCTCTGTCTCTTCTGTAGAGAGCTACTGCTGTGGGTGGTGGAGGAGATAAGCCACTATCTTGCTCGTTTGTTGGAGGTTTCACGTAAACTGGACACCTCTCCAGGATATCCGTCCACATGGGGTCACACCCCTTCTGTCTATTCGCCAACTTAACCATCCCCTCCCCAATCCAATAGTAAGTATCAGCCAGCTTGCTGACTTGCAATGATCGCTTCAACAAGTGGACCCCCTTTCCGGGGAACCCCGCTTTCACATATTCCTTCCCTATCTGATACTGAGCATACCCTGACACGACCATATTGTTTGGTACTGGGATAGTCACTGACGCCATTCTTACTTGCAACTTCCACAGATACACTCCGCAAACGTTTCTATAATGGGATATCTTGAGTAGGGGAGTAAGTTTGTCAATGCAGAGTTGCGCGTAATACTTGGACAACCCTCGCTCAGCGTTCTGGTTGAAGTAATAGTAAACTAGACCATAACAAAAGCTTAAAAAGCAAACAGTTCTCCCGGACCTCTTAGAGCTGAGGCGAAGCCGAGCTTTATGGAGCATCTCGAGCGCCGCGCAGTTCAGACCAAACACAATGTGCGCCAGGGCTAGATCAATAATAGCTTCAATTTGAAAGGACTCATAGTATGTGTCTAGCAGGCTCCTCTGCAGTAGTTTCAGAGTTTTTTTAGCATTTTTAGTATCGGAGGTACGGTTAAACAGTTCGGACTCGGTAGTGAGAACAAGGAGAGTAGCTGAAGAGAGAAGCTTGCAGCGGCTGATGACTGATGCTGCTTCTTTGTAGTTCCCCTTGACAGTGTAGATAAAGGAGAGTAAACTGAGGAGGGACAGTTTCTCTCGTCCCTTGAAGAGGGGCAGGGAGAAGATCAACTTGTCTCGGACAGCCGTTACTCTGAAAATATCGGATTTAACCATAAGTTCAAGTTTAAGATTTTAGAAAAAGCAAAGCCGACATAAACAAAAGGGTGAGTGCGAAATTTGACTGTATAATGGATAATGCATTCGTTCCAATCGTGAACTTATGGAAAGAATAGTCTACAAAAACATGATGTATTCTCGCATAAGCTACCTTTGACATTGCTCAAAGTTGTGATCGAAATAGGACGGCAGTGCAGAAGTCATCTCTCAGTCATCAAATTGAAACCTTGATCGCTCTCACAAATAGGACAATGAATGTGTTGAGCGCTGCACGGTCGTTTTTACCGTTGCAATATGCTTCTCATTACCTGGTGTCACACTGCCTGATTTAAACTTTAAACAGGTGCACAGCTTGAGATCACAGCTCTGATTATATCAAGTGCAATTGTAATAACTTCATCGGTTACTCCTGGCTTGCACGTGACCGACTTTGGTTTGAGTGCTATGTAATACAGCTGATAGCATGTTGTGGGTTGTGTCGCGGGTTGTGGTGGTGTCGCGGGTTGTAGCGTGTTGTAGCGGGATGTTTAAAGGATGTCTCCTCAGCTGTGTTTAACGGGATAATTGTATGATAGCATTGAGATTATGGAGTGTAAAGGTGTCGTTGTATTTGAGTAACAAGTAAAGCCCTGATGATAACGTCAAGATAACAAGTTAGTCAATAGATACAATTGCGGTGTCGTGGTCATTCTTGAAACATATTTACTATCGGAATTGATGAAGTACAGATTGTACTTTCTTATTTTATGTTCCATTACAGAAACCACGGCGTCTATCAATTTGCTACATTGTGCCCTGTAGAAAACCGAACCTGCATAACTAAAACAAAACAAAACAAAACAAAACTGATAACAACCACGTGATAAATATTGTAATATTAATAAAACTTGGGATAACTTATAATTTATATATTTTATTTTTATTTTATGCATACAAATAGTAAGCATGTTGTTCAATAAAACTAAAAAGTGTTGAATGTGTACTTAAATAAGCCTGTATTAACATTTCGTTCAGGCTACAAAGTGATCCAACCTGTCCTATTTTAACAATGCAGCTATTATTTTAATAGACACATACTCTCTGCACGGCGCACCACCACTGCGTTGCTGCACGTACATCAAGTAAAAGAGACACAAGCTGAACCTCCAAACTAACTCTGATATTTTGTGCTACAGACACAGTAAACAGCAGAGCCGATAATACGTGCTCTTTCAGGGTAATTCACAAACCCTCTGTAACACTATTCCCACGCAGGCCTCTCTCAAGAAATAATAGAGATACCCCAGACTGCTACATGTGACCTCTCTAAAATGTTGGATGAAACGCTGACTGCTGACATTTCAGCCACAAAACACAGCGCTCAGGTAGGATTACAACAAATAAAAATCATGCTCGGTTTAACGTTTTCATCTGAAATCATTCAGTAAAAATCAGTGGTTTAACTTCACGACTTTTTTTTTCTTGAAATCCAAACATTGCTTCTCACAGCCGTTCCATCGCGGTAAATTGCTCAGCTTGACAAAATATGGCTGCTATCCCCAAACCCCAAAACATTCTGCCCCCCCCCCCCCCCCCCCGCTTCCTACACCCCTGTTCTGGAGGGAAAATAGGAGAAGAGTTATATTATACATTATACACTATACACTATACACCATACACTATACCCTATACAGTATACACTCTGTATACAAAACATTCTGATTCAGGAGGGAGAAGAGGAGAAGAGTTTCGACAAAGAGCTAATGGAGATGTTCCAGGATCTGAGTAGTGATGACGGGGACTCCAGTCCAGACGAGGTTTGCTAGCTTTCACTCCCTAATCATTAGTCCAGACGAGGTTTGCTAGCTTTCACTCCCTAATTATTAGTCCGGACGAGGTTTGCTAGCTTTCGCTCCCTAATTATTAGTCCAGACGAGGTTTGCTAGCTTTCACTCCATAATTATTAGTCCAGACGAGGTTTGCTAGCTTTCACTCCCTAATTATTAGTCCGGACGAGGTTTGCTAGCTTTCACTCCCTAATTATTAGTCCGGACGAGGTTTGCTAGCTTTCACTCCCTAATTATTAGTCCGGACGAGGTTTGCTAGCTTTCACTCCCTAATTATTAGTCCAGACGAGGTTTGCTAGCTTTCACTCCCTAATTATTAGTCCAGACGAGGTTTGCTAGCTTTCACTCCCTAATTATTAGTCCAGACGAGGTTTGCTAGCTTTCACTCCCTAATTATTAGTCCAGACGAGGTTTGCTAGCTTTCACTCCCAAATTATTAGTCCAGACGAGGTTTGCTAGCTTTCTCTCCCAAATTATTAGTCCAGACGAGGTTTGCTAGCTTTCACTCCCTAATTATTAGTCCAGACGAGGTTTGCTAGCTTTCACTCCCTAATTATTAGTCCAGACGAGGTTTGCTAGCTTTCACTCCCTAATTATTAGTCCAGACGAGGTTTGCTAGCTTTCACTCCCTAATTATTAGTCCGGACGAGGTTTGCTAGCTTTCACTCCCTAATTATTAGTCCGGACGAGGTTTGCTAGCTTTCACTCCCTAATTATTAGTCCAGACGAGGTTTTCTAGCTTTCACTCCCTAATTATTAGTCCGGACGAGGTTTGCTAGCTTTCACTCCCTAATTATTAGTCCAGACGAGGTTTGCTAGCTTTCACTCCATAATTATTAGTCCAGACGAGGTTTGCTAGCTTTCACTCCCAAATTATTAGTCCAGACGAGGTTTTCTAGCTTTCACTACCAAATTATTGAGAATTTGCGATTATTCTCGGACTTTATTCTACAGATTATTCGACTGATACCTCTTTACCTATTGTACAGTTAGTAAAAGCAAATCACGGTTAATCCCTTCATAACCATGATACTCTCTAATCATAATAATAATAATGTTCCACCTACAGGACGGTACGACTACAAAGGCCATTAGGAAAGGAGCTGTGAGGGTAGCCATGGATACCAGCAATTCTACCAGTCAGGATGCTATATTTGAGCTGGAGGTTATTATTTTGCTAGTGTTCATAACTATAGCATGTAGCGGACATGTTAATTAGAGTGTATTTAGCAGACTTTATACTGCTTTAACTTGAACTATAAAATTAAGATTTAAGATACTGTGCAATCATTTCCGACTGAATGTTACAAAAATAACTACGATTTGTAAAAATAGCATCCGCATTCTGTTTAAATAACAAAATTCCACATATTTCACATATTTCACATATTTCAGACCTTGGACAGGAAGATAAGAGGGTTAGAGGTGGAGGTAGCTCGTACCACCAACTCATTCCTACAACAACGACTCCAGGATGATCTGGAGAATCTTAAGAAACTAAGAAGTAAGAAGTCAACTGATATGGACTGAAACTGGTCACTTGTCAATGAGGACAAATTTACAGCGAGAAGAAGTGAAAGCGGACAGAAGTTCAACTTTCGATAATGACAAGATAGACCTAGTGATCAGTTGTACTTGGTTATTTTCACATGGTCATCTTCGCCTGAGCTTTGAGTTTACAGTTTACATTGTCCTCTTCCAATTTGTTAGATCTACAAATTAGATATGATTTGTGTTAAGATGATAATATGATGTGTTATATGTTTAATGATTGTCTTGTAATTGATTGGCATAATAGAAAGTGTCCAGTTACGATCTAAACTGTGAAGATTAGAACCATACAGATTCAGTCTCAGTTATCTTTAGTGCGAATAATTGCTTTTACATCATTTTGATAATCACTGATATCTTTTATTTGAGCATTTGACTTGTACATTTAGTTTTGTTTCAAATTTACATTTCTATTTTATCAGAATTTGGAGTTTTATTGATATCTGTAAATCATTCTGTTACCTCGCCGTCCTAGTAGTTCATAGAGTGCGAATTCTATTTACACGACTTTCACCAACTCGAGCCTTTACTTTCGAGATTCAAAAACTTACCAAATTTGTTCAATTTCATCCCTGGCTCTCCAGAGAGCGTAATTTATACCTAGAAATTGCGCAGTGACTACATTTCTTCCACCCCACCAGAGTTATTAGAATGTACGATCTGTCTGCTACCCTTGTCGGTCACTCCTCTGATGTCCGGTGCTGCTGCATGACCGCCACTGTAAGTTTATACACTCTGTATACCATACACTATGCTCTTTATACTATACAAATTATACAATATACATTACAGCCACTGTAAGTTAATAGCATGACCGCCACTGTAAGTTAATAGCATGACCGCCACTGTAAGTTAATAGCATGACCGCCACTGTAAGTTAATAGCATGACAGCCACTGTAAGTTAATAGCATGACCGCCACTGTAAGTTAATAGCATGACCGCCACTGTAAGTTAATAGCATGACCGCCACTGTAAGTTAATAGCATGACCGCCACTGTAAGTTAATAGCATGACCGCCACTGTAAGTTAATAGCATGACCGCCACTGTAAGTTAATAGCATGACAGCCACTGTAAGTTAATAGCATGACAGCCACTGTAAGTTAATAGCATGACCGCCACTGTAAGTTTCATATCAACATTCAACATAATGGGGCAAATTAGACGGTTGAATTAGTTTGTTTGCTATATTTTGACAGCAAGTTGTCCGCTTATAGGGATTAGTTATAGAGAAAGCCTGGTTGGCAAGTTTCCAATTCTTTAGTATATATTCCTTAACGACTCACCATCTCTATACATTATACATTATACACTACATTATACACTATACACTATGTATACAATAACAACCCCTCACAACCAGGGTCTGATAGTGACAGGGTCCAGGGACAACACGATCTGTTAATAGTGTCCTCACCACCTCTATACATTATACACTATACACTATACACTATGTATACAATAACAACCCCTCACAACCAGGGTCTGATAGTGACAGGGTCCAGGGACAACACTGCCCGGCTCTGGGAACAGAACTCTGACTGTGACAAGGACACACCCGCTGCTGACAGGTTTACATTTACTTTTCAACTGTCTACCTTGAAACTTGTTACTAGGTGTTACTAGGTGTTACTAGGTGTTACTACATGTGTTGCTAGGTGTTACTAGGTGTTACTAGGTATTACTAGGTGTTACTACATGTGTTGCTAGGTGTTACTAGGTGTTACTAGGTATTACTAAGTGTTACTACTTATGTGACTAGGTGTTACTAGGTGTTGCTAGGTGTTACTAGGTGTTACTACCTGTGTTACTAGGTGTTACTACCTGTGTTGCTAGGTGTTACTAGGTGTTGCTAGGTGTTACTAGGTGTTACTACCCGTGTTACTAGGTGTTACTAGGTGTTGCTAGGTGTTACTAGGTGTTACTATCTTTGTTACTAGGTGGAGCGTGATATGTCAGCTAACTGGACACACAGGGTTTGTGAACGCAGTTGCGTCCCTCAAGACCACTGATGACTTTCCGAAGGGCCTTATTGTGACTGGCGGACAGGACAAAGTTATCAACATCTATTGTACAGGTTGGTTGGAAACTTATTTGGGGACAGGTTTGTTGGAGACCTTTTGGAGTAGAATATAGCTCTTATGGGATACGTTGTTGGGCGTTGTCAGTTTTATGCCTTCTCCCACCGAGTGCAGCAACCTTTTCTGTAGACCAATAAGTTCCCCCACTCGCCCTTATATCAAATATCTTTGCTCCTTTCTTCTCTGTATTTTCTCTTCTGCTGCAAACACGATCTGTTAATAGTGTCGTCACCAGAAAGAGTTTTTCCATGAAAAATATCAGCATTCTTTCGGTTAAAAATCTTTAGACAATATTAAAATTATTGTATTGAGCATTCATAAAGCCTGGTTTAAACTCCCTTAACAGTTTACCACACCATTCGAAAAGTGTTAGAATTTCTAAAAAGATATTTTGACGGTCAATCATGTAGAACTTAACTGCATAAATAATTTAAATTCTTGCAGGAGTAGCAGAGCCGATCAAGCAGCTTATCGGACACACGGAGGGAGTCACGTGTCTCTCCACGGGATGGCACGGTACTATTCTGTCTGGGTCAGCTGATAGCACCGTTAGGGTACGTACTTTTAATGACTCGGAGGGGTAAGGTTGCTCGTGAAGCGATTAAATAAACGGTTTTTTAAAACCTTTTTGTCTCTTATTTAGTTCTTAACACTCTCTAGACTCTTTTAAGTTTGATAGATAAAGGTAAGGTTTTGAAGTTCACAAATTTAATGCTGCTCCTACATAATATGCTCCTACATTATATGCTCCTACATAATATGCTTCTACATTATATGCTCCTACATAATATGCTCCTTCATAATATATGCTCCTACATTATATGCTCCTACATAATATGCTCCTTCATAATATGCTCCTTCATAATATGCTCCTTCAGGTATGGGAGGAGATGGAACTGAAGGAGGTGCTGAAGGGACACTCTGCTCCGGTGTGGGACGTGGCCATCTACCCTGGTGCGGGGATCTACCTCTCTGCTAGTGGAGACAAGACCATTAGACTCTGGAGAGATGGTGAGAATCTACCAACTGCCCACATAGATGCACCTTTCACATCTTCATAATTCTATGATTTTTTTGGACAAATGTCAAATGCAAATGGTCGTCTTGAACCTAGATCTTAAATTAGTGACAAGATTGAGTAGGTTCAAACTATGATAACAATATTTCTCACAAGCTTATCCAAGCTGTGAAATGCCGTCTAACGTACCGTCTGACATGCCGTATAACTGGGGACTATAACCACCTATCGCAGGTAAACAGGAGACAGTGTACAAAGGACATCTGGACGCAGTAAGGAAGCTATCAGTTCTCCCTGACAAGACCTTCATGTCCTGCAGTAACGACGGGACCGTCAGACACTGGGACATTTCGGGTTCTTGTCTTAACACGGTCCAGCTGAGCAGCAACTTCCTCTACTCTCTCTGTCTCCTTCCTGAAGGTATGTGTTTGATTTTGGAAACACGTGCCTGGTTACCAACTTAGTGACCAACGTAGTAACCATACAATGTATGGCATACATGTTATTAACCTAGTTAGATAGCTATGTATTATGTAACCATAGCATCCAAATCAGTAACCAATAACTAATAACCTCTGTACCGCCTCCCCAGGATTCGCAGTGTCAGGAGAAGGAGGTAACCTGTTTATAGTAAAGGATGGTTCACTCCAACAGAGCATCCAGATACCAGCTATCAGTGCGTGGTGTTGCGAACCTCTCCCTGATTCTGATATTCTCGTCGGAGGTGAGCTCATCAGTTTGGTAGTTTCCATGACAACATGTTGAATAAGACGCTACCTTATATCCGGATCTTAGTACTTTAAGTTAATAACCATTTCAGTACCTACTCTAACTAACTATTCCCTGAAGGTAGCGACGGAGTAGCTCGCATCTTCAGTCCCCACGAGGGGAGATTAGCACCACTGATAGATAGGGAGCAGATGAAGGAACAGCTAGCTGCACAGAAACACAGTGCACAGAGTGTGGGAGATTTACAGGTAGATAGACTATCTGGGAGTAGAAATGGTTAATTCATTATAGAACTTGTATCTGTCTCATTGTGTTTCAACTCGTGAGGAGTTTTGGGAACTAAGGAACCAGAAGAGAATGGAAAATAAGACAGTTTCCTCCTCCTTTGTCCTATCACTGCTCGATACCCATTAAAAACACATTATTTCTCCTCAGTTGGATAAACTACAAGGACCTGAGGCTCTGAACAAACCAGGAAGAGAGGGACAGACCCTGATGATAAACAGGTCGGGTACTGTGGAGGTGTACCAGTACTCAGGGGGCAGCTGGCAGAGCTTAGGTTCGTTACTTAGTAATCTGTTTAATATTTAGTAACTCTAGTAATCTGAGTTACAATGCTGTTTGTTTAGAGTTCTGACTCCGGTCAGAGCTCCCTAATTCGTGATATGTTTTGAAACCTGAGTAACCCGGCTGCTAACTCCCACTTTGTAACTAACTAACCACTGCTTAGTAACCACTGTACTGCTTAGTAATCACTGCTTAGTAACCACTGCTTAGTAACCACTGCTTAGTAGTTATTAACCACTGCTTAGTAATCACTGCTTAGCTTAGTAACCACTGCTTAGTAACCACTGCTTAGTAGTTAGTAACCACTGCTTAGTAACCACTGCTTAGTAACCACTGCTTAGTAACCACTGCTTAGTAACCACTGCTTAGTATTAGTAACCACTGCTTAGTAATTAGTAACCACTGCTTAGTAACAACTGCTTAGTAACCACTGCTTAGTAACCACTGCTTAGTAACCACTGCTTAGTAACCACTGCTTAGTAACCACTCTCCTCCCCACTCCCCAGGTGTAGTACAGGACGCGTATGACAAGGATAAGCACGAACTGGACGGAGTAAAGTACGACTTTGTGATAAATGTAGATGTAGAGGAGGGTAAGCCTCCTCTCAAGCTGGGCTGTAATAAAGAGGACGATCCTTGGAATGTGGCTCAGGAATTCATCAACAAAAACTGTCTTTCTCAGGTTAGTGTCGGGAATTCAATAGCTCAACGTTCTTACTGTGAACAAGTTCAAGGTGAGGAAGCAGATATTTAAATGCTGACAATGCTGTGTAAGTGCTTCAGATTGACCAATAAACATATAGATAAATATTATAGATACCAAACAACAGAGTAATATTATGGTGCTCAAATTATTTCAGGCGTACCTAACCCAGATAGCAGAGTACATAAGGCAGAACACGGGTATTGATAACAAGGCAATGGAGTACGACCCTAACTTCAGCGACCCCTACACTGGTGGGAGTAGACATGTTCCTGATGCTGGTTTGTTTTTCCTTTTGTTCGATTTATTACTTTTTATGAGGACTAGCATGCAGTAAACAATAATAATACATGTTATGTAAACAATAATAATATGTATCCATACAAACGGAATCAGGTGAAAATCTGTCCTGAACCTTTATTTGTCTATACCCCTATACCTATCTGCTCAAATTATATTTTGGTAACCAAAACAATAAAGCTTAAGTTGACAAGTTGATTGAAATTTTCTAATGACAATTTAAGTCTTTGATGATATTGCAATCGGTAGGAGAAGTAATCTGATCAAAAGCCTTATTATCTTCATCAGCAGACAGAGATTTTTTAATCATTTTGCACTTGTTGGATATTATGTACAATTTAATAGTTACAAATTATAACAAAGATCAAAGAATTGTGAAAACATATTTCGCATATTTGTTACGCACAAATTCAGCAAATCGTTATAAAGACGGACTGCCGGCCGTCATTGGAACTATATTTTGAAGCTGGCAATCCAAATGTATCCGGATTCAAACGTAGAATCCGCTAGGAAACGAGGTTATTTTAAAAAATCTGTACAGTTCTCTTCAGTTCATGACAGTATGTAGTTGCAGTGTTTATATGAGCAGGCTAAGTCTACAGTTTGTCAGATTTAGATTTAGTAACTCTATAAGGCAGAGGCAGCACAGTGGAGAGTCCCCTTCTAACAACAGAAGCTTGTAACTGTACCGCTACACAAGGGTACAACAACACAGCCACTAACAAGTCCTCCGCAGAACTACCATGTATCTGATACCGGTCCCTGACCGCCCCTCTAACCGCTGAGACAATGTACCCGTGTGCCAGGTAACACACCCAACCCACTGCTCCCCACCCTGGCACCTGTGTCTCTAGGATCACCAGGAACAGCCAGCATACCCAGAACAGATAGGCCAGCAGACAGGTGGTTCCAGCCTCTTTCTTACTGGCCCCGATCTTAACACTGACAAAGTAAAGAGTGACGGGGGTCAGGACCAAGTTCTTGAGAAGGGAGCACCAGAGGGTGGGTCTCCAGCTGGATACAGGGTCTATAACACCCACTGTAAAGTCTACACCGTACGGGTTAACGTCCCCACATTCCATCTCCAGACCCCTCCACAGTGAAACACACAGAACAGATAAGAACAGGTAGAAAGGTAGTGCCGTCAGGATGCTAGCCGTCTGTATAGCCGCCAGTGCCGCTTCCCCCTTGGTGGCTAAAGCGGCACTTGCCACCCCGCCCATCACACAGCACCAGAAGATCCTCTGGACCCGAGGTGGGTGTTTGTCTCCGTTAGCTGCGATTATATCCACCATGAGAGCTCCGGAGCTGGTGCTGGTGATGATGAAGAGGAAGATAGCGACAAGGGACGCGATACTGAGCATGTTGCCCAGGTTATTGTAGGTGTACATGAGGGAGTACCAGAGATCACCCGCCGGGATACAGGAGAGTCTAGCTGCTGTCTTGTTGCCGTTTAACGGGTACAGCTCATCGTGTGATCTGATCAGGGATATCTTGTACCTGTTCTTGCTGGTGTTGTAGAAAGTTCCAAAGTTTGTAAACTCGAGACCCCCCGCTGTGTTGTCCTTCCAGTGCTGGTCCCACAGTGTAATAAACTTCTCCGTACATCCCTCCACATTATCGTACCCACCATACTTCTTCTGAACGTCTCTAACCAGTTCTGTCCGCCAGTTAGCACCTGCTAAAGCTGCTGGTCCCCAGTTCAGTAACTCTGGTTGTGCGGGACAACAGAATGGAGTCTCATCGGTGACCAAGGTGGCTGCAATCTTCTCATTCCTGATAGCTGCTCCTCCAAAGGTAGCGACCCACAGGAAACTGAACGTGATGGGTGCCACAAGTGCACCTCTGATGACTTCTCTCACAGTTCTACCCTTTGATATCTTAGCAATGAACATGCCCACAAAAGGTGTCCAGGATAGCCAGAGTCCCCAGTAGTGGAGCGTCCACATCTGTAACCACCCTGAAGGTCCGTCCCCAGCTCCATCTTTATAATCCCTCCCTCTATCCGCCCCCTGAGCGGACGTTATATTCATCTCCTCCATAGCGTCACCGTTAAACCCTAACTTCAACAAATAATGGAAATAGTTCCCTGTTGTCTGGAAGAAAGTGGTCAGTAAGAAGGGGGTGTCATCAGAGAGGAGGACAGTGAGAGTGAGGAGCACTGCCGCAGCTAGACACAGCTCACAAACCCTCCTGACTCCACCACCGCACAACACACTCGCTGCTGTGAATGCTGTTAGTGTCCACACTATAATGGTCTGGGAGACCGTACTGTTCCCGATGTTGCTGTTCGGAAACACGAAGTTTAGCCCGGAGTTTATCTGTAGAGCTCCGATACCGATGACAGAGATGAGGGATAACATGGTGGACACCACAGAGAGAATATCTATCAGGTCCCCTAGCCAGGTATATACTCTACCTCCAATCAGAGGGTAGAAACAAGATCTGATAGTCATGGGCAGCCCCTTTCTGTGAGTTACAAACGCTAGTCCCACCCCCAATACCACATACGCAATCCAACTTTGGAGGCCCCAATGGAAGAAAGCCAGGGTCAGGGCCGGTTCCGCTAGTTCGTTATCAGGGGTGTAACCGTGTGCAGTGTGTTTGTTGGGGGTGGTGTAGTGGTAGACGGGCTCTGAAGCGCCGTACAAGAATATACCCACCCCTACTCCACTGCAGAAGATCATGGAGAACCAGGTGCCCTCTGAGTACTGGGGCTTATCCCTGTCCTTTCCCAGCTTTACTGCCCCGTGTTTACTGACGTATAACACCAGTATGAAGCCTATCCAGAACATTCTACAGAATATATAAAACCAGGACAACCCCCCTGACAGAGCCAGTTCACCATCCTTTAACGTCTTGTGAGCATCTTCTGTCCGGACAATACACCAGAGTCCGACCCCTGCTATCATCAGTAAAGATACAAGTACCACTGCAGGGTTAAACCTCAGCTCGGGCCCTTCTCCTCCCTTACCAAACCTCCACTTGGCCCACAAACTATCATCCTTTATCAGGGCTCCTTTCCACGATGTTAGAGTTGGCTGTTCAGGGTGGGTCTCAATAACATCCTCAGTTCTTTCCTCCTCCATTACCATGAGGTTAGGTCATCATTACATGGTGTCTGGTGTTAAAATGTTCAATGTAAGCAAGTTGAGAAATAAATTGTTCGCAGTAAGTTTGTCCTGAGTTTGCTAATTGAACGATTGTTTGGGAAGTTTTTAGAAAACGTTTCAAAATTGTAAAAACATGATCTTCTGTCGTTAATGATCTAGATAGAAGACGTGGAAGTATTACATTGAAGGCGGCGCATGTTTTAAAGAGAAACAGTTGTAACGAACTAGATGACCAACCTCAAACCAGCAAACTGGTAGTGTAACTATGGTAACTAGTAGTGTAACTATGGTTACCAACCTCAAACCAGCAAACTGGTAACTAACAAGCAGATCTGCAGCTAACAAGCCTAGTTAATGTCGGCTGATGGGCTGGCACTATATTTCTACGATACTTGGCACTTTCTTCAGAATCCACACCAGCCTGTTATACGCAGACAGTGATAATACCCGACCTGTTCGTCGTTAGTTGGTCATTTTAGGAGAAACCCGCCATTAAAATATGTGCTCCTTAGAGATTGTACTAGATTTACAGAAATGGCAAGTTAATACTAGTACTGCAGGTTAAACTTTTATAATTTTAACGGGTTCATACCATGTGTATGTGTAACATACAGATACCGTGACCATGATGATTGCAACTTGTACTTCACATTTCACTCAACTATTGGCTAATGGGTGTCCTCGTTTCAGTCCCACTCCACTCCACACCACCCTCCGCCTCACTCACAATGTCCGACCCTTCACTCCTCGACTTCAAGATGTCTGACGGCGTGTTAGTCGAGAAACCCGGTACCTCATTCACAGGTCTAGCTAATGATTTTTATCGAGACAAATGTAATGTAAAATGTAATGTGAAATGTAATGTAAAATGTAATGTAAAATGCAATGTAAAATGGAATGTAAAATGGAATGTAAAATGCAATGTAAAATGAAATGTAAAATGTAATGTAAAATGTGATGTAAAATGTAATGTGAAATGTAATGTAAAATGTAATGTAAAATGCAATGTGAAATGTAATGTGAAATGTAATGTAAAATGTAATGTAAAATGATTGTTGTATCTTCTCTAAAGAGAAGAGTTATTCAAATAGGATGGCTATATACAGAGATGTGATACAGTTGAAAAATATCCGCCTCCGCACATGGTGCTACGTCACAGCAAGATAAACATGTTACATTACACGATATCTAGATCACGGCTATATTAGATCTAGACTCTAGATTACTGGTTACTAGGTAGCTAGGTGTTACTAGGTGTTACTAGGTGTTACTAGGTGTTACTAGGTGTTACTAGGTGCTACGTCACAGCAAGATAAACATGTTACATTACACGATATCTAGATCACGGTTATATTAGATCTAGACTCTAGACTACTGGTTACTAGGTGTTACTAGGTGTTACTAGGTGTTGCTAGGTGCTACGTCACAGCAAGATAAACATGTTACATTACAAAATATCTATATCACGGCTATATTAGATCTAGACTCTAGATTACTGGTTACTAGGTGTTACTAGAGGTGTTGCTAGGTGCTACGTCACAGCAAGATAAACATGTTACATTACACAATATCTAGATCACTGCTATATTAGATCTAGACTCTAGATTACTGGTTACTAGGTGTTACTAGGTGTTGCTAGGTGCTACGTCACTGCAAGATAAACATGTTACATTACACGATATCTAGATCACGGCTATATTAGATCTAGATTACTGGTTACTAGGTGTTACTAGGTGTTACTAGGTGTTGCTAGGTGCTACGTCACTGTAAGATAAACATGTTACATTACACGTTATCTAGATCAAGGTTACATTAGATCTAGACTCTAGATTACTGGTTACTAGGTGTTACTAGGTGTTACTAGGTGTTACTAGGTGTTACTAGGTGTTGCTAGGTGCTACGTCACTGCAAGATAAACATGTTACATTACACGATATCTAGAGCACGGCTATATTGGATCTAGACTCTAGATTACTGGTTACTAGGTGTTACTAGGTGTTACTAGGTGTTGCTAGGTGCTACGTCACAGCAAGATAAACATGTTACATTACACGATATCTAGATCAAGGTTATATTAGATCTAGTCTAGTTACTGTTACTATGGTAACTAGTAGTGTTGCTATGGTAACACTGTGTGTTACATTACACGATATCTAGATCACGGCTATATTAGATCTAGTCTAGATAAATGAAGTTTAATGCAACGCGTATATAATTAAAAGTGACAGTGAAAATCATATCGTGTAAAGACTGAGAAAATTTGTAATGAATTGTAAATTTGCAGAATCGTTTTGCTGCGTTTTCTGAGTAATTCTAATTATCTTTCTTAATTTTATGATGACTGATGCTGAAGACAATGAACCAAAAGGTCGTCTCAGTCATATCTTGGGAATAGGTCTGAAATAAATTGTAGTCTACGGATAATATGTGAGATCAAAGTATGTCTCCTGACAAAAACAAATAATTATAACCTTAGCTGGGACGAATACTAAGGGTTTTAAAGTCTTCTAGCTCCTTACTCTAATAGCTCCTAAATCCTATATTCGCACACTCTAAGATGGGTCCTGTTGTTACCCTCTTATCACCGCCCCCTTATCCAGGTCAAGGTAAGAGTCCAGCTCTGGGTACGACAAGACACTTTCCTGCCACCAGGGTACTGACAGAGAACATTCCTGACGCTTCTAAACTGATCAAGAAGATAACAGAACACAATGGTTCGGTAAATGAGAATAGTCAGCTCAGTGGAGATGAACTGACTCACTTCGAGAAGATCGCCAAGAAGGTAACACTCTGCATTTAAGTTTCTGTTGTGACAAGTTTTGAATGTTTGTAGGTTAGATCCTCCTACCTCATTCACTGTTGTGCGAATTGTGATATTAAACACTAATTTTACATTTCTTGAGTGTTCAATTATTGTGAACGAGTACCTGATCCCCCCTCCTTGCCCCCCCCCCCCCCCCCCCCCCCCCCCCCCCCGAGTGATTTAAAACATTCCTTTACAGACAAGTGAGGGACAGAAGCTGGATGCAGGTGATATGGAGCTGGTAGCTAAACTGTTATCTTGGGACAAGAGTCTTGTCTTCCCCTGTTTAGATCTAGCTAGATCCATCAACAAAACATCACCTGATTTCTTCGAACTTCAGGATAAGTTCAAGTTAGTGTTTGATTTTGGTTTTGAGCTATTTTTAAATGAGTTTTAGTGTATTCCTCAGAATCAGGTTGAACTTGTATTTGGAGTGTGAGCCTCCCAGCATAGCATCAACCGTGGTCTTGCTAATTATTAACTCTAATTATTGAAATTAGAATAACTCAAATCTGGTCCCCATTTGTAATCACACCCCTGTCTACAGTATCGCCGTGACTAACTACAAGGCTGACTCCACCACGTGCGTGAGGGTCGCGCTGCGCTTCCTGGTTGACATCACGTGTCAGCACACTGAGTACTGTGTTCAGAACTTTGTAGACTTCATCGCTCCGGCTATGGACTGTCTCAACACTACTGATAAGGTTTGTGGTAGTAACTGGGTCACTTGTGGTAGTAACTGGGTCACTTGTGGTAGTAACTTGGTCACTTGTGGTGCGGTAACTTTGTCATTTTTTTGTAGTTACTACGTCAATTTTGGTATCCGTTTATCCCCAATGTCAGTTAATTTTGAGTAATTTTGAGTAATTTTGAGTAATTTTGAGTAATTTTGAGCAATTTTGAGTAATTTTGAGTAATTTTGAGTATCGGATAATCGAAATGTCAGAAGTAAGTTAGTAACTATTTAATAACTAATACACACTTTTACAGAAGTTCGTGTGTATGTCTCTTAACAAGATTCTACACAACATGACATGCGTGGAAACAGACCAAGTCACTTCAAGATATCTTTTAGACTGCATTTCTAAGGTTTGGGTTATTTATCATCATTTTCATTCTCGGTATTTTAGTTATGTGGTTATATTAGATCTATTAGATGAAACAGTGATTCTAATGTAGACTGTCAAGTGGAGAAATGGTCAGACATTGTGGTCATCACAGTACTGGCAAGAGAGACACTGGCAGTGGTCCACTTTACCCATGATTCTGGGTTTCGGTCAAATTGCAACTATTTAATTGTGACGTTGTTTATTGGATGATTTATTTATAAAATTCGTATTTATAATTCTATTAATTTCCAGTTACTGGAATATATACAGCGGGAATTGACAGAAAAAGACAAGATTGAGACTATGCAGTTTAACCTTCTCGTTGCAACGGGTACTTATGATTTTAACTTATTATTTAAGGCCAGTTGGTAATCTAGCTAGGCACATTAGGGGCACATTTAGGGCACACCCGGAGCACAAATTTTAAATTTAAAGGTAACTTCAACATTTTGATCATGTTTTGTGTTGTTTAAAGGATGCTTATTAAACCAAAAATAAACATTCTATTTATTTGTGTTACTAAACTCAACCATTCCAGGAAATTTATTGACAAAGCACCCGCAAATAAAACAGTTCGTTGTCAAGACTCTTATGGAACAGTTCTCCGCCCAAAAGTTCAGCCACAAAATCAGAATTACCGCCAACGAAATCCTTGCGATGTCTTCTTAGTGCCCGGAAAATGTTGTAGTGTTTATATATTTAGTTTGGGAAGGGTTATTTTGATTATAACTGTGTCAGTATGGTGTGCAGTTTGGGACCTTTGGACAAAAGTGGCTTTTGTTTATTAATTTCTTTTCGTAATCTACTGGACTGGAACTGAGTGACAAAGAATTTAATCTTAGAATCGGAGATTATTTTTATTCGCCATCGATTTCAGAAATTTCCAATGAAGCCGTGGCCCGTGTTGACAATGGCAAACATTCACGCTGCGACTTTGAAATGAGAAATTTTGCGTTTGATGGAGAAATGACTAAAATGGTTGACATTTTAACCGTTAAAATGAAAGTCGTAAACTCGAAAAATTGATGGTGTTAACTGATCTCACACCCATGATATATAGTCTGATGTTTTGAGTTAATGTTAGTTCTCCGGATTGATACCAACACTGATTAGCTCCTTATAAGGTAGTGTTAGCTTAGCTTATGTTACACTCCTTATAAGGTAGTGTTAGCTTAGCTTATGTTACACTCCTTATAAGGTAGTGTTAGCTTAGCTTATGTTACACTCCTTATAAGGTAGTGTTAGCATTGCTTATGTTACACTCCTTATAAGGTAGTGTTAGCTTTGCTTATGTTACACTCCTTATAAGGTAGTGTTAGCTTTGCTTATGTTACACTCCTTATAAGGTAGTGTTTGCTTAGCTTATGTTACACTCCTTATAAGGTAGTGTTAGCTTAGCTTATGTTACACTCCTAATAAGGTAGTGTTAGCTTAGCTTATGTTACACTCCTTATAAGGTAGTGTTAGCTTAGCTTATGTTACACTCCTTATAAGGTAGTGTTAGCTTTGCTTATGTTACACTCCTTATAAGGTAGTGTTAGCTTAGCTTATGTTACACTCCTTATAAGGTAGTGTTAGCTTAGCTTATGTTATTTATAGTTTGAGTTCCCGGCACGGGGGACAGTCTGGTGTTTAATGTATTTATATATCAATTTTATTACTTGCGACAAGTGAAGATCTATTTATCCGGGATAAAATGTGAATTTCGAGTGTTTTTCGTTATTCAACAGATTTCAGAAATCATTTCTGCAATTCTGGTAGGCTGTGCCACCTTTGTATTGACAGGGTGAATTCTAGTTGACAATACTGTTGTTTCTAATGATGGTATTATCGTGGTAACTATTTAATTTGTAAACTTGTAAAATGAGAAGTTTTACTTTGAAACGGCGAACTGGTGCTAGTACTATCATTATGTAGTATATGTAGTACTAATAATATATAATACCGATCTAAATTTAAATTAACCATAAATGATAAGACGCTTAACCTATTCAGCATCGAAAAGGCCGATGCATCCCGAAGCATGACTAGAGTTCCATTATTTTCTCTGATATTACGTTTTCTCTGATATTACGTTGGGATACCACTCACGCAGGAGATGAATAATGAGGCTTAGTGTTTATAAACACTTACCGCTTAGGTTTACTCAAAGACAGACACCTCGTGCCCCTGGGGCACTTTTTAGATAGACTCAAGCTCACACGGGTCTTAGATAGACGGCGGGTCGGGTCTATCTGAGATAAATAAGTTCGGGTTTATCTGAGATAGATACGTCGCGTGTCTATGTATAATGATTATATACTGTACACTACTTTCTGCATTTTAACTATAACCACTGCCCACTGCATCGAGCACGATCACCCAACTCGTCATTTTATTTGGTGAGTACAGATAAGTATAGAATTTCAAATTGTGTTCTTCTGTGTGTGTTAATGCTAGTAATACTATTCAAGTTTTATAAAAATTAATTTCATGGATACAGCCACATGCCTGGTATCTATGATTATGGCTGATTTAACATGCTACTGAAAATTTCCTTCATTTTTTATGATTTCATTGAAGTCACAAAAAGTTCATAATCTCTGTTGTGATTATCGGATGATCCGCTGTAGTTAACATTATATCTGTGAGTTAACAAATTCCAGGAATCCAGCCCTCTCCACCAACTCAACCACCAGATTCTGATTAAAGTACAAATTGTATCACGGAATCAAAAATATGGAATGAGGAAATCAAAATCCGTAAACTGAAATATTTTGATAGTCACAATGCACGTGCATCCACGGTGATGCTATTAAGTAACTCCACAAATCACAACGGCAGTTAATTCCGAACTGTTGATAACTTTTAAGTCGCACATCTTTTTGCTTAACGGGTGATATTCGTAAAATATTTGTTCCAAGACCGTCGACGAGTCCAACTAAACTCGGCGCGTGTCTTGGTAAGCTACTAGCTGATAAACCTACACGTTTTTGTGAAAGATGCTGCTTCAGACAAAGATAGGATTGCTGCTCGCTCTACTTGTGACAAATTGCCGTAAGTTTCCAATCATGATTGTGAGCCAATAGCTTTTTTAGTTTTTAAACAAAATTGCAATGGTAGTCGAATATTATATTCCCTGATTTTATGGATTTTTGGGATAAAACAATTCAGCAAATATATAATTATATTCAAACAAGTTGCAAAATTTATTATTTAATTAGGGGCCATATTGATATACTTATTACGTCCACCAAAATCGCAGATTTTCAGACCACCCCCTCCCCCTGTTGATCCGGGTGTGTTCTAATTTTAGTAGGAATATGCGAGTTGTGTCTCGGTGTGATGATTAATCATTCTACACTCGAATGTCACGTAACTTTTTCAACCCGTTCTCTAGCTGGCCCTGAACGACTATTCGAAACCCTAACCCTAACCCTCTTATCTAGTCTGATCCCAACCCTAACCCAATCCCTAACAAAAGCATATGTTCAAATCCTAACCCTAACGAGAAATTCGACCAACTTCCTTATACGGTCATATCACGTGATCAAGACAGTTTTTCGCCAATATCTCGCCAGGGGAGCATTTTAACCCGATGTCAAGGGGGGTGATTCTGAATCAGCGTCTAAAAAAACATCGATTATAGTTGGTTTCAACTGTCGGGGGCATTTTTATTAGAACCATCTCGAAGATCAACTGTAAAGTGATTTAGCTCGCTCGGTCTCGGCTCTCATGAGCTGCTCTGAAAATCGACTTCTCGTTCAAAATACAGGGACTTATATTACAGAGTAATTAGTGTCGAACAAAAAGAGATGCTACCAACAGTGTGCTACTAGTTGTGTAGTACTAGCAGTGTGCTACTAGCTGTGTGCTACTAGCTGTGTGCTACTAGCTGTGTGCTACTAGCAGTGTGCTACTAGCAGTGTGCTACTAGCTGTGTGCTACTAGCAGTGTGCTACTAGCTGTGTGCTACTAGCTGTGTGCTACTAGCTGTGTGCTACTAGCTGTGTGTTACTAGTTGTGTGCTACTAGCTGTGTGCTACTAGCTGTGTGCTACTAGCAGTGTGCTACTAGCAGTGTGCTACTAGCTGTGTGCTACTAGCAGTGTGCTACTAGCTGTGTGCTACTAGCTGTGTGTTACTAGTTGTGTGCTACTAGCAGTGTAGTACTAGCAGTGTGCTACTAGCTGTGTGCTACTAGCTGTGTGCTACTAGCTGTGTGCTACTAGCAGTGTGCTACTAGCAGTGTGCTACTAGCTGTGTGCTACTAGCAGTGTGCTACTAGCTGTGTGCTACTAGCTGTGTGCTACTAGCTGTGTGCTACTAGTTGTGTATTACTAGTTGTATGCTACTAGCAGTGTGCTACTAGCTGTGTGCTACTAGCAGTGTGCTACTAGTTGTGTGCTACTAGTTGTGTATTACTAGTTGTGTGCTACTAGCAGTGTGTTACTAGTTGTGTGCTACTAGCAGTGTGCTACTAGCAGTGTGCTACTAGCTGTGTGCTACTAGCAGTGTGCTACTAGCTGTGTGCTACTAGCTGTGTGCTACTAGCTGTGTGCTACTAGCTGTGTACTGCTAGCTGTGTGCTACTAGCTGTGTGCTACTAGCAGTGTGCTACTAGCAGTGTGCTACTAGCTGTGTGCTACTAGCTGTGTGCTACTAGCTGTGTGCTACTAGCTGTGTGCTACTAGCTGTGTGCTACTAGCTGTGTGCTACTAGCTGTGTGCTACTAGCTGTGTGTTACTAGTTGTGTGCTACTAGCAGTGTGCTACTAGCTGTGTGCTACTAGCTGTGTGCTACTAGCTGTGTGCTACTAGCTGTGTGTTACTAGTTGTGTGCTACTAGCTGTGTGCTACTAGCTGTGTGTTACTAGTTGTGTGCTACTAGCAGTGTGCTACTAGCTGTGTGCTACTAGCTGTGTGCTACTAGCTGTGTGTTACTAGCTGTGTGCTACTAGCAGTGTGTTACTAGTTGTGTGCTACTAGTTGTGTGCTACTAGCTGTGTGTAACTAGTTGAGTGCTACGAGTTGTGTGCTACTAGCTGTGTGCTACTAGCTGTGTGCTACTAGCAGTGTGCTACTAGCAGTGTGCTACTAGCTGTGTGCTACTAGCAGTGTGCTACTAGCTGTGTGCTACTAGCTGTGTGTTACTAGTTGTGTGCTACTAGCAGTGTAGTACTAGCAGTGTGCTACTAGCTGTGTGCTACTAGCTGTGTGCTACTAGCTGTGTGCTACTAGCAGTGTGCTACTAGCAGTGTGCTACTAGCTGTGTGCTACTAGCAGTGTGCTACTAGCTGTGTGCTACTAGCTGTGTGCTACTAGCTGTGTGCTACTAGTTGTGTATTACTAGTTGTATGCTACTAGCAGTGTGCTACTAGCTGTGTGCTACTAGCAGTGTGCTACTAGTTGTGTGCTACTAGTTGTGTATTACTAGTTGTGTGCTACTAGCAGTGTGTTACTAGTTGTGTGCTACTAGCAGTGTGCTACTAGCAGTGTGCTACTAGCTGTGTGCTACTAGCAGTGTGCTACTAGCTGTGTGCTACTAGCTGTGTGCTACTAGCTGTGTGCTACTAGCTGTGTACTGCTAGCTGTGTGCTACTAGCTGTGTGCTACTAGCAGTGTGCTACTAGCAGTGTGCTACTAGCTGTGTGCTACTAGCTGTGTGCTACTAGCTGTGTGCTACTAGCTGTGTGCTACTAGCTGTGTGCTACTAGCTGTGTGCTACTAGCTGTGTGCTACTAGCTGTGTGTTACTAGTTGTGTGCTACTAGCTGTGTGCTACTAGCTGTGTGTTACTAGTTGTGTGCTACTAGCAGTGTGCTACTAGCTGTGTGCTACTAGCTGTGTGCTACTAGCTGTGTGTTACTAGTTGTGTGCTACTAGCAGTGTGTTACTAGTTGTGTGCTACTAGCTGTGTGCTACTAGCTGTGTGCTACTAGCTGTGTGCTACTAGTTGTGTATTACTAGTTGTATGCTACTAGCAGTGTGCTACTAGCTGTGTGCTACTAGCAGTGTGCTACTAGTTGTGTGCTACTAGTTGTGTATTACTAGTTGTGTGCTACTAGCAGTGTGTTACTAGTTGTGTGCTACTAGCAGTGTGCTACTAGCAGTGTGCTACTAGCTGTGTGCTACTAGCAGTGTGCTACTAGCTGTGTGCTACTAGCTGTGTGCTACTAGCTGTGTGCTACTAGCTGTGTACTGCTAGCTGTGTGCTACTAGCTGTGTGCTACTAGCAGTGTGCTACTAGCAGTGTGCTACTAGCTGTGTGCTACTAGCTGTGTGCTACTAGCTGTGTGCTACTAGCTGTGTGCTACTAGCTGTGTGCTACTAGCTGTGTGTTACTAGTTGTGTGCTACTAGCAGTGTGCTACTAGCTGTGTGCTACTAGCTGTGTGCTACTAGCTGTGTGCTACTAGCTGTGTGCTACTAGCTGTGTGCTACTAGCTGTGTACTGCTAGCTGTGTGCTACTAGCTGTGTGCTACTAGCAGTGTGCTACTAGCAGTGTGCTACTAGCTGTGTGCTACTAGCTGTGTGCTACTAGCTGTGTGCTACTAGCTGTGTGCTACTAGCTGTGTGCTACTAGCTGTGTGTTACTAGTTGTGTGCTACTAGCAGTGTGCTACTAGCTGTGTGCTACTAGCTGTGTGCTACTAGCTGTGTGCTACAAGTTGTGTGCTACTAGCAGTGTGCTACTAGCAGTGTGCTACTAGCAGTGTGCTACTAGCAGTGTGCTACTAGCTGTGTGCTACTAGCAGTGTGCTACTAGCTGTGTGCTACTAGCTGTGTGTTACTAGTTGTGTGCTACTAGCAGTGTGCTACTAGCTGTGTGCTACTAGCTGTGTGCTACTAGTTGTGTGCTACTAGTTGTGTATTACTATTTGTGTGCTACTAGCAGTGTGTTACTAGCTGTGTGCTACTAGTAGTGTGCTACTACCAGTGTGCTACTAGTTGTGTGCTACTAACAGTGTGCTACTAGCTGTGTGTTACTAACAGTGTGCTACTAGCAGTGTGCTACTAACAGTGTGCTACTAGCTGTGTGCTACTAGCTGTGTGCTACTAGTTGTGTGTTACTAGCTGTGTGCTACTAGCTGTGTGCTACTAGTTGTGTGTTACTAGCAGTGTGCTACTAACAGTGTGCTACTAGCAGTGTGCTACTAACAGTGTGCTACTAGCTGTGTGCTACTAGCGGTGTGCTACTAGCTGTGTGCTACTAGTTGTGTGCTACTAGCTGTGTGCTACTAACAGTGTGCTACTAGCAGTGTGCTACTAGCAGTGTGCTACTAACAGTGTGCTACTAGCAGTGTGCTACTAACAGTGTGCTACTAGCAGTGTGCTACTAGCTGTGTGCTACTAGCTGTGTGCTACTAGCTGTGTGTTACTAGTTGTGTGCTACTAGCAGTGTGTTACTAGTTGAGTGCTACGAGTTGTATATTAATAGTTGTGTGCTACTAGCAGTGTGCTACTAGCTGTGTGCTACTAGCAGTGTGCTACTAGCTGTGTGCTACTAGCTGTGTGTTACTAGCTGTGTGCTACTAGCAGTGTGCTACTAGCTGTGTGCTACTAGCTGTGTGCTACTAGTTGTGTGCTACTAGTTGTGTATTACTATTTGTGTGCTACTAGCAGTGTGTTACTAGCTGTGTGCTACTAGTAGTGTGCTACTACCAGTGTGCTACTAGTTGTGTGCTACTAACAGTGTGCTACTAGCTGTGTGTTACTAACAGTGTGCTACTAGCAGTGTGCTACTAACAGTGTGCTACTAGCTGTGTGCTACTAGCTGTGTGCTACTAGTTGTGTGTTACTAGCTGTGTGCTACTAGCTGTGTGCTACTAGTTGTGTGTTACTAGCAGTGTGCTACTAACAGTGTGCTACTAGCAGTGTGCTACTAACAGTGTGCTACTAGCTGTGTGCTACTAGCGGTGTGCTACTAGCTGTGTGCTACTAGTTGTGTGCTACTAGCTGTGTGCTACTAACAGTTTGCTACTAGCAGTGTGCTACTAGCAGTGTGCTACTAACAGTGTGCTACTAGCAGTGTGCTACTAACAGTGTGCTACTAGCAGTGTGCTACTAACAGTGTGCTACTAGCAGTGTGCTACTAGCTGTGTGCTACTAGCTGTGTGCTACTAGCTGTGTGTTACTAGTTGTGTGCTACTAGCAGTGTGTTACTAGTTGTGTGCTACTAGCAGTGTGCTACTAGCATTGTGCTACTAACAGTGTGCTACTAGCTGTGTGCTACTAGCTGTGTGCTGCTAGCATTATTTGATAACTAGCATTGTGCTACTAACAGTGTGCTACTAGCTGTGTGCTACTAGCAGTGTGCTACTAGCAGTGTGTTACTAACAGTGTGCTACTAGCAGTGTGCTACTAACAGTGTGCTACTAGCTGTGTGCTACTAGCGGTGTGCTACTAGCTGTGTGCTACTAGCTGTGTGCTACTAGCTGTGTGCTACTAGCAGTGTGCTACTAGCTGTGTGCTACTAGCAGTGTGCTATTAACAGTGTGCTACTAGCAGTGTGCTACTAGTTGTGTGCTACTAGCTGTGTGCTACTAACAGTGTGCTACTAGCTGTGTGCTACTAGCAGTGTGCTACTAACAGTGTGCTACTAGCAGTGTGCTACTAGCTGTGTGCTACTAACAGTGTGCTACTAGCAGTGTGCTACTAACAGTGTGCTACTAGCATTGTGCTACTAACAGTGTGCTACTAGCTGTGTGCTACTAGCTGTGTGCTACTAGCTGTGTGCTACTAGCTGTGTGCTACTAACAGTGTGCTAATAGCAGTGTGCTACTAGCATTGTGCTACTAACAGTGTGCTACTAGCTGTGTGCTACTAGCTGTGTGCTGCTAGCATTATTTGATAACTAGCATTGTGCTACTAGCTGTGTGCTACTAGCTGTGTGCTACTAGCAGTGTGCTACTAGCAGTGTGTTACTAACAGTGTGCTACTAGCAGTGTGCTAGCATTATTTGATAACTAGCTGTGTGCTACTAGCTGTGTGCTGCTAGTATTAACTAAATCGTTAATCCTATAAAGCTATAAAAGTGTCAGTATGTAAGATAAACAGTACTAGTATGACCTTCATCCTTGACGGATGATACGCGTCTAAATTTCTTCGAAACATATTGATTCCAGGGAAAGTGCTCCGAGTCAGTTCATTCACAATGAACATTGAACAACCTTTATCGTCATCATTGTACTGCACTGTAATTTGACGTTAACGTAAAAGGTTAACGTGTTTCAGGTTGCAGCTTCCGCCTGGTAAATGAGTACGGGAGTACGATAAGCAATGAGGATCTGGGACTGCTACTGTATAATGGTGGTACTGTGTGTGACGATAGCTTTAGTGACAATTCAGCCAGTGCCATATGTAGAGAGATGGGATATGATTCAGCTAATGGCTGGACATCTGGAAGCATTTGGAGTCGACAGAGTGGTTATGATATAAGGCTTGATAATGTTAAGTGCTCCTCTCCGCGTTGGTCTTCATGTAGTTACAAAACAAGTCATGACTGTTCTCATGGTGAGGATGTATTTCTAATGTGCAACGGTCGCATAGTGGTCTGTCCTTCAGGTCAATACCGTAGCGCTAGGTCATGTATACAGTGCCGCGTTAACACTTACAAATCTGAAACTGGAACTAGTACATCCTGTACATCATGCTCGTCTTCATCTACCTCCACATTTGGTTCCTCCAGTTGCACTAGTGTTACGTGCCCACCAGGACAATACAGTAATTCTAGGTCTTGTAGACAGTGCCCCGTTAACACTTACAAATCTGAGACTGGAACTGAGACCTCCTGTACTTCATGCCCAGAGTCATCTTCCTCCACTACTGGTTCCACCCTTTGCTCCTGCATAGCTGGCATGTTTTGGAGTGATACAGTTTGTGAAAACTGTACAGCGAGCTCTGCGAGTCAAGTCGGTGCTTTACAGTGCCTTACCTGCCCCACTGGATCACGCTCATTAAATAATGGGAAATCTTGCAGTTGTCCTGCAGGGCAGATATGGAGCTGGAGCGATCTTACTAGCGGCACGTGTATCTCATGTACAGAAGGTACCTACAAGAGTAATCAAATGGAGATGTGTGCGAGCTGTCCTAGGGGTACATCTTCTGTTGCTGGATCTAGCTACTGCTCATGTAACGCTGGTCTGTATTGGAACACAACTAGCTGCCATAGCTGCTCAGAAGTTTCTTCCAGCCAGGAAGGGGCTCTTAGTTGCACTGAATGCCTCATTGAATCAATATCGCTGCATAATGGAACATCGTGTAGCTGTAACGCTGGAAACATTTGGTCTTGGGATGGAAAAACCAACGGGTCTTGTAAGGCGTGCTCCAATAATACCTACAGGAATGATCAAATGGAGATGTGTGCGAGCTGTCCTAGAGGTACATCTTCTGTTGCTGGATCTAGCTACTGCTCATGTACCGCTGGTCTGTATTGGAACACCACTAGCTGCCATAGCTGCTCAGAAGTTTCTTCCAGCCAGGAAGGGGCTCTTAGTTGCACTGAATGCCCCATCAAATCAATATCGCTGCATAATGGAACAACGTGTAGCTGTAACGCTGGAAACATTTGGTCTTGGGATGGAAAAACCAACGGGTCTTGTAAGGCGTGCTCCAATAATACCTACAGGAATGATCAAATGGAGATGTGTGCGAGCTGTCCTAGAGGTACATCTTCTGTTGCTGGATCTAGCTACTGCTCATGTACCGCTGGTCTGTATTGGAACACAACTAGCTGCCATAGCTGCTCAGAAGTTTCTTCCAGCCAGGAAGGGGCTCTTAGTTGCACTGAATGCCCCATCAAATCAATATCGCTGCATAATGGAACAACGTGTAGCTGTAACGCTGGAAACATTTGGTCTTGGGATAGAAAAACCAACGGGTCTTGTAAGGCGTGCTCCAATAATACCTACAGGAATGATCAAATGGAGATGTGTGCGAGCTGTCCTAGAGGTACATCTTCTGTTGCTGGATCTAGCTACTGCTCATGTACCGCTGGTCTGTATTGGAACGACACTAGCTGCCATAGCTACTCAGAAGTTTCTTCCAGCCAGGAAGGGGCTCTTAGTTGCACTGAATGCCCCATCAAATCAATATCGCTGCATAATGGAACAACGTGTAGCTGTAACGCTGGAAACATTTGGTCTTGGGATGGAAAAACCAACGGGTCTTGTAAGGCGTGCTCCAATAATACCTACAGGAATGATCAAATGGAGATGTGTGCGAGCTGTCCTAGAGGTACATCTTCTGTTGCTGGATCTAGCTACTGCTCATGTACCGCTGGTCTGTATTGGAACGACACTAGCTGCCATAGCTGCTCAGAAGTTTCTTCCAGCCAGGAAGGGGCTCTTAGTTGCACTGAATGCCCCATCAAATCAATATCGCTGCATAATGGAACATCGTGTAGCTGTAATGCTGGAGAAATGTGGTCTTGGGACGGAAAAACCAATGTTGGTAAGATATGGAGTTGGGATGAGCTTCATCACGGATCTTGTAAAGTCTGTGCTACTGGAACATACAAAAATGAGCAAATGGATTCATGTCTTAGTTGCCCAATAGATGCAACATCTGCTCCAAGTTTGGACCACTGTTCTTGCTCAGAAGGTAAATTTTGGAACTTAACAGCGTGTGAAAGATGCCCTCAAGGATTAGTGAGTTCGAAGGGATCCCTTCAATGTCAAGAATGTCCAGCAGGCTCATCTGCCCACCCCTCTAAGACCTTCTGCAGCTGCATGAACGGAAACCTATGGAGTTGGAGTGAGCATAGAAATGGATCCTGTCAGTCTCTGTCGCCTGCTAAAGTTCAAAGGAGTGCTCACAAAATAAGTTACATTCTGATTCTTGTGTCATGCACATCGGTACTCCTGGCAGTGGTGTCCATTACACTAGGTTTGCTTCTGCTCCACGAGAAAAGAAAGGGTAGGCTAGAAGAAAGAGATCCAGTAAGAGTTGTCTATAATGCACAGGCTAGTGTTCATGAAGGCGTCCAGGAAGAAATGGAACTAGTTGAGCGGTCGGGTGAGAGTCCAATGATCATGGCTGAAGTTGGAGCGTGTTTTTCTGCAGCTGCTGAGGGTGGACAGTTCCTAGCATCAGACACTGAGAACATATACGAAACTGTAGATAAACAATAGGACTAACTAATAAGGTACATGTAAATTCGTTTTTACTATTCACTAATTGTTTTTATTGTGAAATTTGCAACATACATCGAAACAGAAATCTCCAGTTTTTTTTCAAGAAAGCTATAAATTAGAATGTAAACTTTAACAAAACAAAAGCTGCCATTGAACTAAATTTAAATCTCCCTCAGGTGGACGCTGACTCTGACCTTATCTTGAAGTAGGACCGTTTCAGTGATTAGCTGTGAGTAAGTCAGGAACAATTATAGAAACTGAGACAATGAACCTACACGGACAATAATTATTAATAATGAGTGCATCGAGACTATGTTTTTTAATATCTTTCAGTATTTTCATGGTTAATTTAGTTTACAATATAGCTTACATTATTATGCCGACAGATTTCTGGAGGACCAAAAAATGGTCGCTGTTATACTTATATTTTTGGTGAAAATCGCCATATCGATGTATGAAATGAACCTTTTCGGTAAACTCAAATGTGGCGATTTTTTTAAAACTCAGTCTCATTTGGTTCACTATATTATATGCATATTATGTAATATAAACTAGATTAAGATCAAGATTATCCGATTTTCAATGCAATTGGGTTCACTATGTACATAATGAAATCTAAATCATGTCGACAGTTGTTAATTTCTATTTGTTGAATTAATATGCTTCAAATTAACCCACATCATTTATGCTGTTATCACCTTTAAAAAGCTTCGGCAGAAAGAGTACGGGCACTTAATTTATAACATGAGGCAATCATGAAGCATGTAATCGTTTTAAGATTACATTTAGGATATGTATTTTTAATGTTAATTTTTTGTGTTTAAAAAAACTTTACCAGAATGTTTTGGTTTTCGTAATTGTATAAGCCCATATTGATGCAGCGTGAAATATTGGTCAGGGAAATCACGGATATTGATTGTTCAACCTTTCGGATGATTACAAATTACAATGTATAGAATTCCATACTATCTTTTAGATTTATGTCACTTATGATGGCTCCGGCTGAAAGTACTATGACTCATTTTATCTAGAAGATTGTAGTTTCATTGCTTCTGAAGTAGCTATCAGTTCGCCGGTCAATGTTGGGTATAATACTCTTGTGATTTAACCGTTTTGGACAACCTGGCGCTTATGGTTCTGGAGCCCGATTTTTCTCTAGACAATGGGAAGACCCAACCCATTGTGAATCAAAATGATGAAAGCCACCTCTTAGAGAACTCTCAAACAGGAGAAAAAACAGTCTTCCAGAAACTTCAGTTGCTGAAAATGAAACTGAAATTCTTGAGAAACTGCGTGAAATTGAAACGCCCACCACCATCCCTTCGGGTTAAAGGAGCCCCTACTATCCCTGATGCATCTAAACTTAAACATTTTTCTGTACTAGAGACACTGATGTTAGGAGAGGCCATCAAAAACAAACTGAATGAAATCAAACACATGGCCTCTGTTTTTAAGGCTGGTGCACACGAAAAAATCCCGTTAGTCCCCTCTGAGGTTAAGAGAACCAAGGAGAAACACCAAAACAAACTTGATTTCTACAAACAACAAGAGGAAACTGAGTGGAAGAGGTGGCCAAGAAAAACATTAAAAACTCTTCAACTCATTGAGGGAAATAAGAAGCGTGTGAATTTTAAGAACCGACAGCAGATAAACAGAAGACGAACTGAGAAAGAAGCCAAAAGACTCATAAAGGACGGAAGTGTTGTCATCCTTGTGAATGAACCTGTCCCACCCGGGGCTGTGTGTGTACTTGGAAAAGGGTTGGGCTTTGTACCTACACCTTCTCTTGATGTTGAAGGAACAAGATTGGACATGCGTTTAACAACGAACAGGATCCTTCAGTCTTCAAATCAGTCACTTAACAGCAATGACCAGTTTGAAACCCCGAATCTGCCCCAAATACCACCAAAACTCTACCAAAAATCATACTATTCATCACAGTCATCAGATGACAGTAGTGTTAATGATATTGTGAAGAGTATGGAGGCGGACCTTGACCAGAGATTGACCATTCAGAAAACTACAAGAGGCGACACAAAGAAGAACTTGTCAAAGGAAGAGACTGAGGGCCTAAAATGGCTTGAGTGCATGAACAATGAGGGAAAACTATCCGTTGTTCAAGCTGATAAAGGAGGTGCAGTGATCATTATCAACCCAGAGACACTAAGGAAGAAGACACTTGAGAAGCTCCAAAACCCGAATATCTATACTGAACTGAAGGAAGATCTCACCCAAACATTACACCATGAGTTATTCCTCAAATGGGTTGAAGGTAAAGAGAAAGGTTTTATCCATCCGATGACTGCAAAAAGTGTCATGGGTGTTTCTGATAATGATAGCACAAAAGAGGGGAAAGATAAGACCAATGCAAAGAGCACTTCTTCACATTTCAAGCCAGGAAAAGCCTACTTTTACCCGAGTTTGAAGATCCACAAATTGAAGAGAAAAGACCTTGTGCCAGGCATAGAGCCCCCTGTGAGACTAGTCACTGCACTACAGGAAGGAATAGCAAAAAGGAGTGATGTCTTCTTGGCCAGTGAGTACTTCAAAAATCTTGAAAAGGACTATTGCGAAGACTTACTGACTGACTCAACGGACGCACTGAGATGGCTTGAAGTATGCAATGAAGTTGAAACAGACAAACGAGCCCTCCGAGCTTTCACTTTCGACTTCAAAGCTCTCTACGACTCATTAAACCCTGAACTTGTCAAGGAAGCCGTTCATCATGCAATGAATACCACCAGACCAGACTGGACACCAGCACTCTGTGATTGGCTGGTCGACCTCGTTGATATCAGTCTAAGATCCTCTATTGGATGCTTCGAAGACAAGTGGTACGTCCAAAAGAACGGAGTGCCTACAGGTGGAAGTCTGTGTGTGCAGTTGGCCAACATAACTGTATTTTATGTAATGAACAAATGCGTTTACAGTAACACTGACATGATGAAGAGAGTCAGGACTGTAAGACGGTACATTGACGATGGTGCAGGTTTCTTCTACAGCACTGAAAGGAAATTTGACCAGTGGATTTCCGATGTAAACAAATCCTTGAAAGAATATGGGCTACTCATTGACGAATCCCAATGGAAGGAAGTTGGCACGCCTGTGGCTTTTCTAGATATCGAGTTTTGTTTCGACCCTGAGGGAAACTTACAAACTGACCTCCATATCAAGGAAACAGATTCAAGGAGCTATCTACATTTTAGCAGTGCACATCCAAACCACATTTATAGTGGAATAGTTTACAGCCAGTGTATCAGACTCAGGAGAATAATCAACTCACAAGAACGACTGGAAACCAGATTGAGTGAATTAAGCCAAGCATTCAAGGCAGCTGCTTATCCCTCAAAAATGGTGAACAACATTAGCAAAAAAGTTCTCAACTCCGAAAGAAACCTTGAACGAAGACCTCCCAAGGACAACACACTGAAGCCAGAGATCCTACCAATAAGGGTTGTCTCAACCTACGGAAGTGACTCTGACATTGTCACCACAGTGAAAAAGTATGAGGAGAACTTAAAGAAGACCAGAAGTTTTTGTAACCTGAGTGACTCAAAACAACAGAGTAACACCCTTGAAGAAAAGAAGAATGGCAAAAAGTTCTTCCAATTTGTCAAGAAAACAGGAAGCAACCTCAAAAGCCGGTTGGTTAAGGTGAAAGAAATAGCTCTGGGGAATAAGCATGGTCAAACAAGGCCGTGTAGAAAGAAGAACTGTGCAACGTGTGAGTCTATTGATAGTGCTACACAAATCAGCATCAATGGGAAACGGGTAAAACCAGCACCAGGTACATGCATCACTTACAACATCATATATTTGATCAGATGTAAACTGTGTGAGAAACCATACGTAGGCAAATCCACCAGAATGCTACGGGTAAGGTTTGGCGAACACAGAAGAGCATTCTACAAGATCATCAGTGGGCAAAAGGTTGACACGGATGATGACTCAAACTGCGTAGGACTCCACCTCCATATAGAGCATGGACTGACTCAGAAGGAAAATTTTAACAATAGTGTTTCAGTGTGTATCCTAGAAAATTCAAGTCCTAGTAGTTTAGATGTTAAGGAGCACCGATATATACATGCCTTAAATTCCCTCCGCCCCTCAGGAATGAATAGTACAAACCCTTTTAAGATTCCTTTATTGCATAATTGATTTTTATTTTGTCTGAGGGGCTTTCCATAAATTATTTTTTTAAATAATTGGTCCTTTTATTGATGTTTCATATTTCACGGCAGTTTCCTTTTCAGAGTTTGAGTTTATATTTAGAAACTAACCATACTATCTTTTAGATTTATGTCACTTATGATGGCTCCGGCTGAAAGTACTATGACTCATTTTATCTAGAAGATTGTAGTTTCATTGCTTCTGAAGTAGCTATCAGTTCGCCGGTCAATGTTGGGTATAATACTCATGTATAGAATTCCCTTCATTAACAGTTTTGTTTGACAGAATGAATTTTTGCAATCAATGTGTTTTTATTTTTTGTGTTTTAAAGAACTTTTTTTGTGTTTTAAAGAACTTACCAGAATGTTTTGGTTTTCGTAATTGTATAAGCCCATACTGATGCAGCGTGAAATAATGGCCAGGGAAATCACGGATATTGATTGTTCAACCTTTCGGATGATTACAAATTGCAATGTATAGAATTCCCTTCATTAACAGTTTTGTTTGACAGAATGAATTTTTGCAATCAATGTGTTTTCTTCAAATACCTAAGAAACGCAAAACAATAAACATTTAAAAACCAAATTTACTTTGAACTCCGACCGAAATCAAACTTCCAGCACCTCAATTGTGCCATTTATAATAGTGGGCTAAAATGGGCGATTAGGTTTGGCCTCTATACGGCCACTATACGGCCTCTATACGGCCTCTATACGGCCTCTATACGGCCTCTATACGGCCTCTATACGGCCTCCAAATGGCCTTTATACGGCCCCTACACGGCCACTATACGGCCTTTATACGGCCTCTACACGGCCTCTATACGGCCTTTATACGGCCTTTATACAGCCTTTATACGGCCTCTATACGGCCTTTATACGGCCACTATACGGCCACTATACGGCCTCTATACGGCCACTATACGGCCTTTATACGGCCACTTAAAAGATATTTTAAGCCACAAAGTGGCTACTATAACCGGCCACTAGCCGGTCACTAGCCGGCTACTAACCGGCACTTAGGGACCCCTAAGGAACAAATTTGGCTTGGGTAGACTACTTTCTGAATATAGGGCAGTTTTGAGCAATTGACCACGCCCTTTTTTGGCGCTTTCGTGATTTCTAAACCCACATATCTCCACTTCTGATTGGAGAAAGGAGATCAACTATGAAAATGATCAGAATCATCATATTTAGTGGGGTAGAACCTGGTTTCAAAGTCCTCACGCGCAAAACTGCCCCATATAATTCAGAAAGTCTACCCAAGCCAAATTTGTTCCTTAGGGGTCCCTTGATCCGTTCCAGGTCTCAAACCTCGGGGCGGAAGACGTGTCTACCGGAATATTCTCAGATCCTTGATTGCTGTAAGAAAGAATCAAAGTTAAATTGTGACCTGCTGTGACTATTTGACTGCAACTAATCGGAAAATAGCAAGTAGTGGCCGATTAGTAGCCGGTTTGGAACCTCGAATAAGCGGGTCTTCTTTATAACGTAGCTAAGTGCCGGTTAGAAGCCGGCTAGTGACCGCCTAGTAGCCGGTTAGTAGCCACTTTGTGGTCACTAGCCGGCTAGAGGCCGTGTAAAGGCCGTATAGTGGCCGTGTAGAGGCCGTATAAAGGCCATATAGAGGCCGTATAGAGGCTGTATAGTGGCCGTATAGAGGCCAAACCTAATCGCCCATTTTCCCCGGAAATTTCATCTTCAAAAACTAAAAATGGGACAGAGAATGGGACAATGTGATTTTCCAATTCTCTTCGGGATTTTGATTTCCAGTACCTAAATTTGGTTTCATACCATCATCAATTAATTTACTAATTAATCTCTGGGAAAAATGTCCAACCTTGAATCTGTCAAATCTGTGTTCAGAAATTTTCATATTTAAAAATGCGACAGAAATTGGA